TCTAGTCCATTAACAGTTCCTCTCAAAATAAATGTTTAAGTTACACATGCTCTTCCTGGAGGAAATGAAAATGTACCTTTATGGTGCTATATATCATGCTGTTGCTTTATGGTGCCAATATCAGTAACTAATTCCCTTCCTAAAATAAAAACATGTAAATTCTTCAGTAAATTCCCAGAGCAAAAACAAACAACACACACACACACACACACACACAAAAAACACACATCTTAAAACATTGAGTTTTCCATTTTTCTAACCATTTGAACAATGCAATATGAGTGTGGCAAGCACTGTGCTCTGTACAAAGGTATGAAAACATATGGATTTTGATCTGTATATTTTTAGGTGGCAAGATCAGTAGAAAATTGAGGGAGAAAAAATGCATAATGGCCTTTATGTAGAATGTGGGGTTAGGCAAGATTACCTGTAGAAGATCCTTAGAAATGGGATTTAGAAAAGAGATTAACAATATGGTGATGGTTTAAAATACTGAAATACAGAAATAGCAAAATTACTGAGCACAGGGAAGTGAAAGCATTGACTGACAGCTCTAGAGGCTAGGAATTTTCAAGGACATAAATCAGATCACCCTCCAGCACCTCATTTGTTTACCAAACCATCTGGTGGTCTGTGACATGCACCACAGTTGGGAACCAGGATCTCAGGAGCTTACATACTGGTAGAAGATACTGTTCCATTTTAACTTAGACTGCAAGGAATTTTTCTAAGCTTTATTACATCCAGTTTCATACTACCCTGTCTCTTCCTCACATTGGCATTAACCTAGAGGGGTTGCCCTGGGAAGACCCACAATGAGTCCCCCTCACAGTTCCTCTGGGACTTGGATTAAAGAACACTGCCAGAAGCCAGTTCCAGCATGTCATAATTGCAAGAGTTTCATCAAAGGGTTGATGGAACTTGGGGACTCAACAAGGGCTGAGTCACATATGCTATTGCCTGTTGGAAATGGCTAAAGGCATTTCTCCAAAGCTGTAAGGGATGCATTAAATTGTTTGCTGCCAGACAGCTCAGGGCATCTTCATCTACATGTTATTGCCTCCTACTGGCCAAACACCTGAACAGCCATAGGCTATTCTGACAATGGACTCTGTATGAAGCCCTATCCTTTGAAGTGTATATCTCCATCTTGCCTTAGGACAAATTGTGTTAATAAAAAGCAAGGGGTCCTGAGACAAGAAGAACTTGGTTTCTTTAGCCAGGCTCCTCTGACCCTCAATGCCTTTCAAAATTATCGTCTCTGGACTCTTAAGTTACACACAGCCTTTCTCCAGATTGTTGAACCATTCTTTATATATATAAAATTGATTTTTTACAGAGCGGAAGATAGAGTGATAGTTAGAAACATCGATGAGAGAAAATCACCGATCAGCTGCCTCTTGCACACCCCCTACTGGGGATTTGCCCGCAGCCAAGGTACATGCCCTTGACCGGAATCATAGGCCGACGCTCTATCCACTGAGCCAAACCGGTTTTGGCTGCTGAACCATTCTTAATGGTGAAACAAGAACCCTAGCACATTGCTGCATGAATTACCTTTAGAACAATGTTTTACTTCCTTTTTTTTTTGGATTATGAGATTAAGTCCAAATACATATTTTCTTTTTAAAATTCTTATTGAATTGATGTTGGTGACATTGATTAATAAAATAATATAGGTTTCGGGTACACAGTTCTAGAATACATCACCTGCATATTGTATTGTGTTCACCACTCCAAGGCAAGTTTCCTTCCATCACTATTTTATACCCCCTTTATTCCTCCTACCTCCCCCCTCTCTCAAGTAATTACCATATAGTTGTCTGTGTCCGAGTTAGGAGGCCTGGTGAAAAAGGTGAAGGGATTAAACAAACACAGCAACCATATTTTCTTAATTTGGGGCTCTCCTGAATATTTAATGCCATTAAATTCTTTACCCAAAGAAAGAGACTCACAAAGTAGATTTAAAAAAATGTACTACAGTAAGCACATTTCAGAAAAATGAAACCTGAAGGCATGAATTCACACATCTGGCAGTGATTCATAATTGAATATTATTTTTCTCTCCAGTTATGACGATTTGCATCAGCCTGAAGCCTCGAACTGAAAGCAGCTGAGCGATACTGCTGAAACCTTCCCTTTATCGCAGCTCCATCTGTGCACAATACAAGATTTAACTAGAATCCACTCTGGTAGCATCACGCAAGCAATTTCAAAGAAGACACTGAAAGAAAACGATTACCTGGGGCCTCGGGCCAGCAGGGAAACCTCTCCCTCCCTGGGTGTGTTTCTAAGGGACGTTCGTGAGGAAGAACCTGGAGGGCGGGACTATTTCCTTGCATTGGTATCAGTCAGAGACAGCATGCATTTGTAAACTAAGAAGGAGGCTGACATGTTCCCTGATGAGAGATATTCAACACAAACTTCCAGTCTTGGGAAGTTCACTCAGGACTATATGAATAATACAAGTATGCTTCCGATATTTTCTGATTCCGACCAACTCATGTTCGCCAAAAGCTACGGGTGAATTTTACTTGGTCCTTCCTTTGCCAGATGACATGATTACACACCTAGTTCTGGTCACATAAGAGGAGCCTCATGGATCTACTATGGAGCCACAACGCTCTGTGACTGATGTACAAGGCCAAATAGAACTGGGGATGAGCACCTATGTGCCCGAGAATGAGAGGTCAGGGGCTTTCTTCGGAAAGCAGACTGAAAAGAGCCTCTGTGACTGTGACTCCAAACTGTAGGGTGTAAAATTAAACACTGGAGGGGTGTTTTAAAACCCCTCGTCCTCAAGCCACCCCAAAGAAGTCTTGATCCACTAAGTCCTGCATTGGGTGCTTGAATCTGCATATTTCACAAGTACACCAGGTGACTGTGGTGCAGTTTATTATCCGGATCACATTGTTACTATAATTTAGGAGAAAGGTGTATCACAATCTGGTTGGTTTTCATTGATAAAGCCCCTACTATGTTAAGTGAGATCTTGACTATGTGTATTTTTATTAGCAGTGTGGAGAAGGGCAAGTAAAAAAATAAAAAGGCATACACAAAATAAAAATGACATGTCAATCATGTTGTTTCGGCAGTGACACTGCTATTCTCAAATAGGCCTCTGGGGCTTGTCATTTACTCTGCTGGTTGGTGGGTTTATAGGTATCGTATTTTCCGGCGTATAAGACGACCCCCTAGTTTTACAGTTAAAACATAGGTTTAGGCCTATTTTCGCTGTATAAGACTACTCCCCACTTCAAAGAACTTACTTTGCCGTCAAGATCTGCAGGTAATTTTTGTGCAATTTTGGTCTTTTGCCCCCGATTTTCGGTTGACTTTTTTTCATTTCAAAAGTCACCTTATACGCCGGAAAATACGGTAATCACATACCCAAGCTCTCTACAACAAAAGTAAACATACATATATAGCTATATAGCGATAAGTGTATTATGTTACACTGGAGACCCATTGCACGAATTCGTGCCCAGGTGGCCTGCAGAGATCAGGCTGAAACCCACAGTCCAGTGCCACGTGCAACTCCTTCCTGCCACTCCCACTCATCCCAGTCCCACCGTGCCTGCCTCAGGCTCGCACCCAATCAGTCCCGATAGAGAGTGGCTCACACTTCTGTGGCAGCGCTCTCACCAGCCGTGAGTCCTGCATCTGACACTCTCCCTGCGGGATCGTGCTGAAACTAGCTCTCCAACATCTCCAAAGAGGTCCCAGATTGTGAGAGGGCACAGGCCAGACTGAAGGATCCCACTGGTGCACAATCAAGCTGGAGAAGTACTGGGAGGGCTCCAGGGCATGTCTAGCCCATCTCTCTCAGTCCCAATCAGCTGGACCCCAGCAGCAAGCTAACCTAGCAGTCGGAGCATTTGCCCCCTGGTGGTCAGTGCACATCATAGCAACTGGTTTGCCAGTTGATTATCTTCCCCCTGGTGGTCAGTGCATGTCATAGCGAGTGATTGAGCAGCCTTAGCATATCATTAGCATATTATATTTTGATTGGTTGTTTGGTTGTTCTGCCGTTTGGTCTATGTGGATATTACCCTTTCATTATATAGGATTGACTGTGTCTCTGAAATAAGGAAGTCTCAAACTACTGTAATCTTACATCAAAAATAGCACAAAGCTATAAATACTTATCCCTGGTATTTTCTCATCTGAAAATCATATTAGTGAAAAAATATAAAATGTGCAACTTGCACATTCTAGGACTCCAATAAAAATTAAGCTGAAAACAGATTTTTTATGCCATGGGGATGTGGAAATTAGGGGTATTAGGTCTTATGATCTCCAAATCATTTCCAATATTCACAGCAAAAGAGATTCACCTAAAGAACTTGGTCCCATTTGGGTACCGATCATCTTGACAACAATATTCTGGAAGACCACCGTGCATGCAAAGGTATGGAGAACAATGATTGCTAGTGTGTCATTTGTTTTTGTTTGACTTACCGGTATTTTCTGTGAATTGCATATCACATCAAATAAATTAGGTATTTAATTGTGTGTGCTTTTTGTAAGGGAAAAATGGCAATTCGCTATGTTGTTTTTGTATATTACTTACAGAAGATCCTGGATTTTTACAAATGGTTTGCAAATGTTCTAAGTCTCTGATGACAAGGTGTTTCTCAGTTTTACAAATTAACTGACAACAAAAGAGAAATAAAATACAACAACAACAACAACAAAAAATACCAGAAGAAAGGTAATACATTCATGCTTACCTTTCAGTATACCAAAACTAAATGCAACCACATTTTATAAAATAACTATAAAATAACCTATTCAGTCAATTTGCTTACTAACAAAAATCAGGAAAAAAGTGCTAGAAAATCTTGACCAGGGACTGTGTAGTTAACAAGTCACATTGCACGGATGGTAGCAGAGGCCCTCTGTAGGGTCTGGACCATGAAACAGGTTGTGCAAACGCCAGCGTGTATTCTCCGCAGGGCAGTTGCTAAAGCAACAGCTGTGCTGCAGCAAACGGGGCTTCAGACTTCACTCTGCTCACTGAGCTTGCTCAGATTCTGAAATTGAAAAGGAAGCAGTAAGCACATGCTGCTGACCAGTTTAAAAAACAAACAAACAAAAAAAAACCAGTCGGAATGGAAGCAAGCTGTCCAGCCAAGCCATGAAAAGCCTCTGAGGCATCGGAGTCAGCAGTTTAAAGCTCCAAGGCCAGAACCAGAGTGCTGACTTTGAAACTGCCTCCATCACTTACAAATGGTAGAACTCTCTGGGCCTCTGTTTCTCCATTTTTTAAAAAAATTATTTATTTCTTTTGGGAGGACACCATGATAAAACAATTTTATTCTTTCTTACCACATCTCCCAGAGGGAGCATTTCTCTTTTGTTTTGTTTTCCCTTTTTATTGAATTTATTGGGGTGACACTGGTTAGCAAAATTATACAGGTTTCAGGTGCACAGTTTCACTGCACGTCATCTGTACACTGTACTGTGTGCTCACCGCCCCAAGTCAAGTCTCCATCCATCACCATTTATCAGCCCTAATCCTCCTCCACCACCCCACCACAATCACCACACTGTTACTATTGTTCCTATTGATGAGTTTTTTCTTCTTTATTTTCTTTTTTGATCAATCCCTTCACCCCCACCTGCCCAGTTTCCTCATTTCCAAAATAAAATAATAGGTTAAATAATAGTATCTTCCTTATAATTTCATAGCAAATTTAGTGAATTCATATGGCTGAAGTTCTTAACATATTCTTGGATCAATGAATGTTAGGATGTTACCTTACACTAATAAAAGAGAAATATGCAAATTGACTGTACATCTGTGATGCCCACCACCCAATCAGGGGTGAGTATGCAAATTAATCCAATTAAGATGGTGGGTTAATTTGCATAAGCAGGCACAGAGCAACTAGGCGGGGCAGGACACCTGCTATGAGGAGGAGGGCGGGGGTAGAAGGAGCTACAGGAGTAGCGGTGCTCCACCGGGAGCAAGGACTTCCAGGCTCTCAGTCAGCCAGGAGTGAAGCAAGGGGAAGGAAGGCCTAGTCTTGCATGAATCTTCATGCAACAGGCCTCTAGAAATAATAATAGTAGTAATGTTATTATTTTGTAAATACATACAGCTCTGATAGAATATAATAGGAATGACTCTGGGAGGCACCAAATTCTAATCTAGGGATGAGAAAAGGCAACATGATTTAAAATCAAGGAAAAATCATAGGAAATCATAGCTCTAGGAACAGTCCTAAGACTAATCATAAAGCCCAGTATCTGGACAATTCAGTGTGAGTGCTGGGGTTTCTAGATACTATTTCCAAAACGGCAATATTTGTAGAGAGTCAAGGGCTTCAAAGCAGGAAAAACATTATAATGCTATATTTAGAGTTTTTGTATTTGACAGAGGTAGATTCAAATACCCAGAATAGTGGATCCTGCAAGAAAGAAACTTTTATTTTGCAAGCTAGTAGACTGCACTGAATAGGTGATCACCAAATCCTCTATGCCATGATACTGTTAGAAAAATCTAACTTATTAAATAACTAGAGGCCCACTGCACAATATTTGTGCATGGAGGAAGGGGGTGTCCCTCAGCCCAGCCTGCACCCTCTCCAATCTGGGACCCCTCGAGGGAAGTCCAACTGCCCATGTAGCCCCAATCCCACCTAAACAGGCAGTCAGACATTCCTCTCACAATCCAGGACTGCTGGCTCCCAACTGCTTGCCTGCCTGCCTTACTTATTGCCCCTAACCGCTTCTGCCTGCCAGCATGATCACCCCCTAACCACTCCCCTGCCAGCCTAATTGATGCCTAACTGCTCCCCTGCCAGGGTGTTTGCCCCTAACTGCCCTTCCCGCAGGCCCAGTCACCCCCAACTTCCCTCCTCTGCCAGTCTGGTTACCTCTAACTGCCCTGCCCTGCAGGCTTGATAACCTTCAATTGCCCTCCCTTGCAGACCTGGTCCCTCCCAACTGCCCTCCCCTGCTGGCCATCTTGAGTCCACATGGGGGCAGCCATCTTTGACCACATGGGGACAGCCATCTTGTGTGTTGGAGTGACAGTCAACTTGCATATTACTCTTTTATTAGATAGGATGTTCATACCTGGTCCAGAAAAGGAATGGAAACATTTCTTTACTTGAGATAGAGGCCTCTGAGGAGGGTACATTTTAATGCAATGTTAGATGCCAGTGGAATAATAAGCTAATATTTAGAAATACAAAGCCCTTGATCTTACATTCTAATTTTTCTTATAACTGTAGTAGGCAAACTTACTTGTCTCATTTTATTCGCATGGATATCACTTATGGCAGCAGATACTGAGTTAAAAAAAATTGGCTTCTCTGAGTCTAGGTTTCCAAAGTACTTCATGGCTTTCACCAAGGAAGCTGCAAGAAAGCACAAGTGATGGAAGGTATATGTAGCAGCAGGGATCATGTTCAGTTGTTCGAGGACCCATGTTAGCCAAGGACTTTCCCTTACCTGTGCAATGGGCTAATGACACATCCACACTCCTGCTCTTACCGTCCCTGTAAGCCTGGAAGAATGAAAATAGGAAACGGCAATTACTTCAGGATAGCCAGCAAGAAGGGACTACAAGGGCTTTAGGAACAAGGACCATTTCCAGCAAAAAGAAGCCATTTTTATGATCTCAGACCACCAGAGGGCGGTATTGCTGCACAGTCGGGCATACCCTGGCAAACTTCTACAAGAGCCTTCTTAGCAAAGAGGAATGCATCAGGGCAGTTTACCTTTAATGCAAATAAATTTGGCTGTTGACATTTTCCACTTCGTTTAATGAAAACTATTAAATAATTACTTTTTCTTCCCTATACGAATTATATAAAATTGTTCTCAATCTTCTTTTATTCAAAGGTAAGGACCCGTTTATAAGTGATGAGAACAGCTGACTTTAATATTTGTACAATTTGTGCATATTTATGGACTCTCAAAATCCCACCTCTGAATGGTAAGTTGAGAACCTCACTACACTTGAAAATAAGGTTGTTTGCCTTCCTTCCATTTTCAGGATACATCAACGTAAGAGACCCTAAATGATGTGCTTGCCACACTGTAAGGTCTTGCTTCATTTAAGTCCAAGAAATGCTCAAATAGAAACAGGTATTGAAGGCCCTGACCTTAAATTCGCCCAGATCAAAATCATCCCCGGAGTGCAAGCAAATCTGACGTTTTAGTAACTGTAGGATGGATTTTGTTACGTAATAGTGACTTATCGTACATATAAAATAGCAAGCAGCAATTCTGAGATTATGCGTGATACATCCAAAAATATCCCTTGTATTCCTGTACCAGCATCCAGGTCTGTGTTGGAGAACTGCAGACTGGGAGATGTATTGCTCTGAGCATGAACACACAGACAAACAACAAAACAAATCATGAATACATGAGCCTTGGCCATGGAATTCATAGTTCCTGCTTTTAGAAGGTAAAATGATTAAGTCAAGGTGACCTGACAGTGTTTGACTTTTCCTGAAGCCCAGGAAAGCACAAACTCAGTGCCATGGGTGGTTTGTGGATGCTGATAGACATAATCTACAGTTGGTTGATTTTTCCAGTGTCCTAAGTATAAAAATAAATAGAAATCATTCCATTTCCTTCAACCTCTAACTCATATGAGAATGTTGCTTATGCTAAAGCAGCTAAGAAAGCAATCCAGGAAATGTTATTAAAAAACGGAAGAGGATGGATGGAACTGGAGAGCATTATGCTAAGCGAAATAAGCCAGTCAGAGAAAGATAAATATCACATGATCTCACTCATTTGTGGAATATAATAAACAATATAAACGGATGAACAAAAACAGATCCAGAAACAGAGAAGCATCGATCAGACTGTCAAACCTCAGAGAGAAGGGATGGGAGAATGGGGGGAAAGGGGAGAGATCAACCAAAGGACTTGTATGCACGCATATAAGAATAACCAATGGACACAGACATTAGGGGGTGGGAGGGCACGGCACCAAAGGAGGGTTGGAGGGCAATGGGATGATAAGGACACATGTAATAACTTAATAAAGAATTAAAGTAAATGAATGAATGAATGAATGAATGAAGAAATTCACGCTGAAGAAACTCTGTGGCCCTTTACCATGACCTTCTTTCAGGATGGCTACAATGAAGACATATGTCAGTTGCCATGATATTATTTCCATTTTAAGAAGTAACTATTGCCTCAAGGTCTATGTCCTCTGGAGAGAGGGGGTGAGGTGAGAATTGAAACAAGCAGAGTCAAGACCCCAGCTCTGAGAGCCGATGGTGGAAACCTCTTGCTGAAGGGAAGGGAAGGGACCCGTCCACACACACCCTGTCCATACCTCAACCAGCACGGAGACGCCTGCAGAGTCAAAAAAGGCCAGCCCGCTGCAGTCCAGGATCAAGGAGCAGTTCCTCTCTTCCGAGCAGGGCTGTGCTGCTTCTTCTGTGGGAGGAACAGACTCCAGTTAGGACCATTCTTTGAGATTTCTGTCGCTGATTTCATCAAAAAGTGGCACCCTAACAGCAGCCTCGTGTGTAATGAGACTAATTCCAAACCCTCTTTAATCTTTTCATTTTTCAATTGATTGCTCATTATTTCCAACATCTTTATATTTTTGTTATTCAGAGGTTATTTCAGGTAATGACGGTATAACTCAGGGAAGAAGACGGGGGAGAGCTTCACTGCCAGTGTCATTCCACAGATGGATGGACAGAAGCTCAGCAGATTAGGCCACCTTTAGATGAGAGTTCTGGCAAGTCCGTGCCCATGGACTAGAACCAAAGCCTACAGCCACTCTGCATGGCACTCCTTCTCACAACCTCACAGTTTCCTTCCTGGGGATGGCAGGAGGGAGAGCCCTGATGTGTTGTGCCTGGAGCTTATACAGACTTGGAGTCAGATTTTTAAGGAAAATATTCACTGTGGACTCTTGTCTGTTGGCTTTGGGGAGGATCTGAAGGAGAGGCCCTGACATTAAGTTGCATTGGGTTCATGGGAAATCTGCCTCTGAAAGCACCTGTTGGGAAAAATAAAAACTTTTTTCACAGGAGTTCCTGACGTTTGTACACTGTTGTTGTAAGGGCCACACTTCCCTCGTGGGAAATGACATACTCCCAAAACAGTGCCAGGCCCCATCCGGGTCTCTCTAAGGAGTGACAGGGCTCTCCAAGCAGATCTATAGGCTAAGATTTTCTCACCATCAGAGGACAAAGTCGGCCAAGTATCCAATGGACTAATTATTATGAAGTTCTCTTAAAAATGATTTCTTAATTGGAATCACTTGCCACTTAAAATGCCCATGGTTTTTCTCCTGATGGTAGCTACAGCAAAGTGGGAATATGGTAGAATCTCAATTAGCATTGAAAGGAAGTATTAGGGAAATTATATATTTTTAAAAGCTCTGCTTTGAGGAAAATACAGGCAAGCAGAAAATGTAACATAAATTCTGAACACTTGTGTAAAACAGTAACTGATAAGAAAAGGATAAGTGCTGCGAAGTGGTTTTGATACATTGAAAATTGCTATTCAGGCATAGGATTGGTTTCCAAGTTTCACCTTTAGATCTACATGAACAGTTACGAATTGAAAAATAACAGCATATACTATGTTCAAAAAAATTTTTTCAAATGTAATGAAAGGTACAAATGTGAGGAAGGTCCTATTTCTTCTAGGAGTTTATCTGTGAGTGGCAAGGATAAGTAACATGATTTAAGATGTAAAAAAGGGAAAGGGATGGGAATTTATAAGAAAGGAGAAGTCTCTTTGGAGTGATTAAGAAGACTGCAGGCAGCCGAGACCGGCTTGGCTCAATGGATAGAGCGTCGGCTTGGGGACTGAAGGGACCTGGGTTCGATTCCAGTCAAGGGAATATACCTTGGTTGCGGGCATATCCCCAGTAGGGGGTGTGCAAGAGGCAGTTGATCGATGACTCTCTCTCATCGATGTTTCTAGCTTTCGATCTCTCTCCCTTCCTCTCTGTACAAAATCAATAAAATAAAAAAAATTTAAAAAAAGACTGCAGGCAAAAGTAGCCTTGAAGGACATATATACTTTCAAAAGGTAGAAATGGGAGAAACCAAGATGGCGGCATAGGGTAGACACCTGAATTCAGCCTACCACAACAAATTTGAATTTAGAACTCGAAAACAGGGAAAACATCACCCTGAAGCGCTGGTAGGCTGGCTGAGAGGAGGCTCTACCATCTGGGAAGGAGAGAGAAGGCGCACTGAGCCTCAGAAACTGTGAAGGTACAGAGAACTGTGTGCGGAAAAGGCAGCCGCAGAGTTCGCTGCTGGCTTGCTTGTGGAGCACGGACAGGGTGGGCCGAGTTCACAAGGTAGAAATGATATGGGGATTTAAGCATTCCAGTCATACAGACAGCTTTCATTGAATACTGATGACAGTTTGAGCTGTAAAACTCCTCCTGCTCTCATTCAACCAGCATTTATTGAGCACCTCTTCATGCCATGCTTCTCCCTTCCTCAATGAAATCAATAAAAATATTTTTTTAAAATAAATAAAATGGCAAATTAGAACCTTAAACAAAAAGGGAAGTAACCACAATGTAGTTGATCCACTGACCGCTCACCAGCAATCACCATCTGCACTATTGGCCGAATTAAACAGAGGACCTACCTCTATTATGCAAGAGCTCTTATTTATATTCTCAAATATAACCTGTCCCTGCCCATTACCAGAGATAACAGGGAATCTAGATCACAGAAAAAAGAAAAACACATATGCCAAGCAAAGATAAACATTTGTATTTATCCATTTTTATCTCCTCGTCTCATCACACACACACACACACACACACACACACACGTCTATGCTACATTAATTAGCTTATAGATACTATATTCAATTTTGTTTAATCTGGGACATGTATTTCCTTGCATGTTTTTATAATTCATAAGTATTTTTTTATTTCATTTGGAAAAATTTTACTGAATTTTCAGAGCATAAAAATATTTACAAATTAAATATTAGTTAAGCATTCTTAGAAAAGTTTAATATTCATATGATATATATGTAATAGATATTTTCTTGCCAAGTTATATATAAAAATAGTTTTAATAAGACTAATCATATTTGCAATTTTCCATAGAGTTCAATATTTGAAGGGTTCCTATTCACATACTTTTCAACACATCTGTTTTAGAAATAAAATGTATGGGATGTATTTAAAGGCAGTAGAGAATTTAAGTCAACTTATATAAGGCAGCTGTTTTGACATCTTTTTAATATGTCAATTATGTCCATATTTCTTCAGCTACAAGTTTAATAATAGCATGTTGGTAACTTGAAATTAGCCATAACAGAGTTATTTATATCCTGGATATTGGCAAGTGCTACTCATCAGTTCTTCTCCAGCACCTCACACTGTATTCTCTGCCCCAAGAGTTCGTAAAGATTTACCAGCACATCACTGCTTAAAGTGGATACTCTAGCTAAACATTAATAAAATAATAATTTAAAAAAAACAAATGGTCTTGATTATATAAATGACTTACTCTACGGTTCTTAAAATGACATGATAACACAATTTGTTACCAAATTTGGTCAAGTTCTTTTATCCATCTACTTATATAGTTCTGTTCTTAACAAAAGACATGCCTTTTACAACACAGTACATATTTCACAATAAGCTGCAACCTAAAATTCATAGTCCGAAAATTTATGTAGAAAAGTTGTTAAGGAAGGACCCAGCAGGGAAAGGCAGAGAAGAACAAAAGGAGAAAGTGGGAGGAAGGAGGAAGAGGAGATACAGAATTGAGGGAAAGGAAGATGTGGAGGAGAAGAAAAGGAAGACAGAGGAGGGAGGCAGAGAGAGAGAAGGGGAAGAAGGTATCATTCTATGGTCTATATTCAAGGCAGAACACTTTATTTAAAAAAACACACATACACAAACTGACTCACCAATGCAATTGCCATTGGACAGAGAATTGAGCAATGAGTTTTGTTCACACTGAAATGGAAACAAATATAAAAAATAAGGACATTTCAAAAATGTATTTCTGTCCCTGAAAAAAAGTACATAATTCTTTTCTCCATAACAAAACACTAGTCTTCAATAAGTATTGTCCATAGTCTATTTCAGAATGGTAAACACAACAAACTGAAATAATATAATGATAATTAGCTCTAAGTATAAGTTTGTCCTGTAGATAATGTATGTTGTCAACTCAGACTATCTTGTTTACAATATTTTATGCAAGTTGTTTTAATTTTTGACTGGGAATTTAATATTTTCATGTGTTTTCATGTAGCATATCCAATCAGAAGTAACCTCATTAACACAGCATTCTTTGAGAGAGAGTCATTAACCATATATTTCATATTATACAAAAGTTAAATGGTCATCAGAAGATCCATGGAAATGTCTGAGAAACACTCCTGATTTATGGAAATTCTTAAAAAAGAAAATGACTCTGTTTTATAGAAAATGACTCTATTTTATAATTAAACTTAACACTGATTATAATCGATGCCCTAAAGTAGTGGTTCTCAACCCTTCCATTGCGGCAACCCTTTAATACAGCTCCTCATGTTGGTGACCCCCAACCATAAAATTATTTTCATTGCTACTTCATAACTGTAATTTTGCTACTGTTAATGGATCGTAATGTAAATATCTATGTTTCAGGCTCTGCAGCAGCTGTTCTTTGGTTCTAGAGCAGTGGTTCTCAACTACAACATGAGGAACTGTATAAAAGGGTGCTGGAATAGAAAAAAAAAAGTACATAGGTAACACTAATAAAACCTGAATTAGAGCATGAACTTTAATAATAATAATGTATCCATATTGGTTGCTTGATTGCAACAAATACGCCACACTAATGAAAGATAGAGGAAACTGTGTGGTGTAAGGTACATTGAAACCACTAATTTAAGTGATTTTATTGATTCAAGATTATAGTACCTAGTACACATGTCCATTAGATATACTATTCTGAATGAAAGTATATATAAGTTAATAAGTGAGTGAGTAAACAAATCACCAAATAACAAATGAGAGACTACCCAAGAGCTAACTGTAAAAAAAAAAAAACAAATAAAAATCATAATACAATAGAATGTTTTGCTGAGGTAGAGGTCTCTGTACACTTTTATAATATATTCCATTGATGTGGTACATTTTTTAGTATGGTGATATAAGGTTATCATGACATTATCATCATGAAACAGTTGATCCTACCTTGCTGGTTTCATCGAGTGGCTGGTTGCTGGCCTGTTCTTTTTGGATTATATCCATTAGATCAGCACGAAACTTTTTTGCATTCAGAAAAACAAGCGGGTTGTTTACGGAGATAATTTTCACCCGCTGCTGGGCTTCCTTTTTGGAGAAGAAATGGATTCAATTCAGAGTGCTGAAGACTATAAAAAAGAATAACTCTGTCCAATGAACCTGTCTTACACGGCCAATGTCACTCAGCCATGGAAACAGTCCCTTAGCTAACGTTTTCATTATTCAAATGTATTTGGAGAACTTCATAGACTATCATGTTCCTTAGGGAGAATGTGTGCATTCTCTTCACCAAGAAACATGAATAACCATGAGATGAGTCTGAAGCATTTTAGGAAACGACTCTTATCCTTACCTCCTGGGTTTGGGAGACACAGCAGCCTACCAAAGAGTACAGGAAGATTTATCCTTCCAAAAAAGGGTTTTCTCTACTTGATCTAAAAATCAAAACTGCATTTACTTAACCATGAGTATTTTAAAAGCAAAAATAGGTCTACAGGCTCAAACGGGCAGTCATTTACCTCCTAAGGACATAGCTTTCCTTTGGCTGGCATATTACCCTGCAAGTGCCTGATAGTCCTAATTGGGAGAAGGAAATCTAGAGATTAGATCAAAAATCGAGCCCCTGGATTTAAGGGTGTAGGTAAGGCACACAGAAAAAGAGAAGGAAAAGTGTCAATATGAAAAGTATCTCCTGAGGCCATTTGCCCAGGTCTCCCTAGGCAGCCACTGATGGGTATGCAATGCAACTAAAACTGTCTTCTCCATGACCTTTGGGAAAGAGATCAGACTGAGAAGTTGAGAGGATGGTATTTTCTATGAAATGATAACTCCTTACCAATTAAATAAAGCATTACTCCTCCCTGCTTTAGTATGTCCATAGAAGAGACACAGAAAATAGTGAAGAATCCATGCAGAGAAAGACAAATAAGAGAAAATATTAAGTATGTGAAGTTGGATAATTCATTTAACCTTTCTCAGTTTCTTCATATTAATAATTGGATAAATATTTAATCTAGATTATCTCAGGAAGTTCCTTTAGCTGTACAACTAACTATACTCTAGAAAGTGAAGAGATTTGCTACAAATAACTCAATTTTAAAAAAGCCTTAAATTACCAAACCAACTTCTAATCAAGGATAAATTTCTTACAAACAAAAAATAAAACAATTCTTGAGTCTGTCATATATAGTTATCACAAACCTACACATGGTGTGATTAGATCTACCCACTAATCACACCACATGATTGTACTAATGTATTGTTTTATGTTAACATTATTAAAAGACAGGTATTTATTAAAGAATAAAGATTCAAATTGTGCCAGAAAATAAATTCTCCATGTGATTGAATTTACTAGCATTGAGTGGGAAGAGATATCCCAAATTGAGAATGAGTATTTCATATAAAAAAATTATGGAAGAATATATGAATGAAAGAAAGGAATGACTGACTGCCACCAAGCTAACTTTGTTAGTTTAAACCTGGCCTGGTAGCTTAGTTGGTTAGAGCATCATCCTGATATACCAAGGTTGCAGGTTCAATCCTGGTCTGGGTACATACAAGAGGCAACAAATATATATATTCTATTCAAGAATTTTAAGTTTGAAACTCCAATTCTGTTTCAAAGTTAAGAATGCCAAGGCTAATGTATGTAACTGTACGTGTGGGCTAGATACATAGAGAATCTTAGGGGCCCAAGAGTCAGTCTGGACTAATTCCTATGTAAAATGTAAAACACACACACACAGACAAACACAGACACACACACAGACACACACACACAGACACACACACACACACACAAAGAGATAGGAAAGGAAAAAAAGGCAGTATTGGTAGGAAAGTTGATACTGGGGCACTCTCAAAGGCTCTGACCACCAATAGTTCTCTGAGAAGCAAATCTCTTGGTGGTTATTGAAAACAGGCCATTCCCCTGGTGTCCCAGGAGGACTCCTGGTGCTACTTCTCACTCCCAGTTCACTCAGAAATACCCTGACTGTGGCCCTGCTGGTGGAAGGCCAGTTCTCTCTGTTCTGAAAGTAACCAGGAGGTACTGGAACAAGAAAATGTAAAAAACAAAGAAGAGGTTAACCAAACATTTACAAAACAGGTTCAAAGGGAGGCCAATCTGCAAAAAGTTCAAGGCAACATTTTTTTCCTTCACTTTAAACTTGTCTTGGCCATCCCTCAGAATAAAAATCCTAGAACAAAAACACAATTGGCCTGATAGGGAAATTAAAAAAAAAAAGTTATTTTTTTAAATGTGCACTGTGCAAGAAACTAATTCTACTGGCTTTCCATAATCATTAGAATAAATTACTATCTGCTAATAATACAATCTCATTGTATGTGTGTTAAAAAACAAAAACAAAAACAAAAAACAGCAACAACAAACTATAATAAGATCTGACTTCAACTTATTTCCTTTCCTATTCCCTCTCTTCCTTCATCATTTAGTTTGGAATGGCTTGTTGGTTTAGTTTGACTGTTTTATGGAACTGAGCAATGGAAAAGAGGTTTCCAAATGCCTGCATTAATCTGGACTATGATTCGACTGTGGAGTGTAGTTCTATTGTCTTCCATGAATACTAATATAAGTTTTTTGTTGTAGATGTTCTATTGGTTTGCTGCTTGTCAACTGCCATATATACATATATATATATATAGTAATCACTAGTTCAAATTAATTAAAATACAGTTATGTTAACGACATAATTTATCTGTTTTTAATGATATTTTAAAGCTATCCGAATCACAAACATTGTTAATAATTGCACAAAGTAGAAAACAAAAACTAAACTTACACCATCAATTTCTGTTTTCACTTCAAATTCCATTTCTTTCATATTTTTTATGTTCAGTGTCTTTGCTCTAGAATTAAGGCAGATGGGAAACAAGATGTCATTTCCTAATTACTGCATAACCATGAAGAAGCAAAAATTATCTTTTAATAATAGGAATATACCTAAAATGGTTTAGACCCTATATCTCATTTGTTAATAAGACACTGGTAAATCTGCATTTTTCTAAAATCATCAGGAATAACAAACTTTATTATATACCATATGTAGATAAAACCTTTTCTTTTTGTCTCCAATAGAAAATAAAACATGAATTGTAGTACTATATAGCCCACAGAAATAAAAGTAACTGGTAACACCATATACTACACTGCTGTGTCATCATAAACAGAACATTTAAATAAGATCTTACCTTGGGAAGCGACCAATCACCATAGCTATGGTACCAACAACGCCAAACAGTAGCCCCACATTGGCACCAAAACATATTGTAAAGACATATGTACTGACCCAAATGCCCTGAAAGAGAAGCAAAGAGAAAAGATGCGGGTCCTTGGATATTCTCAGGATTGATAAATTCCTCACAATTTTATTCTACAATATTCCAGTAACCGTGTCTCTCAGGAAGAATGTATTATTTAAGATGTCATAAACAGAAGCCCAGGAATACAGAAACAAATCCTGGCCCCATCACACCCCCAGAAGCAGTAGTTGGTAAAAGGCAGATGCTTTTATTTCTACACACCTCCAATACTTAATTCGATCCCCAACTAACATTTTATTGAAGATCTGTAAATTATTGGTTGATGTGTGGAGTTTAAAAGCATGCCATATTGTTTGGTCATTTCCAAAAATATTCTGCTTCCTAGGGTTGCTATAAAAAGGACTAATTTATTTTTCCACACGACTCAAACCCTAATGTTAAAATGACTGAATCTAACATCATGAGCAAAGCCATTTTTAGATCAACCACTCCAATAATAGTTATGATTTTATTTGCAAGGGGCCACTTTTTGTGAAATTGTAAAAGCTAAAGCATCAGGGCCAATTTGACTCTTGAATAGCATGTTAAACATTTATGTTAATAGAAGCCACACTTTCCCACTGTTTAGTATAATTTAATCCCTTATTAAAATAATGATCCTCTCAACGTAACCCATTTAAAACCCAATTGATGAGACTGTTTGTATTTAGAATGAATATGGTCACTATTAAGATTTTCACCTTATGTTAATGTGGTGTACATAACTTAGCAATTAAATGATTTCTCATACATGTTAAACTTGTCATATCTTTATTAGTGTGTTCTTCATGAACTCACTGGCAAAAATTAATCCATAACAGAAATTAAGAATCCCCAATACACTCAAGTTAGTTAGCATTTCTTTAAAAGTTCTCAAACAACACATCAATCAAAATTTGACAAGATCCCATGCCTATTTCTTATAAAGACACTTCACATTTTAATGCATCTCTTGGGATTTTAAAAGAAATTACTGCTAGTTTGTAAAGCATAAAAATCTCCAGTGACTAAAACTACTTTCTGCAAATGAAACAATTAAAATTTAGTTTTCACACGTGTTTAAGTCCAAGATGAAAATGTAGGTTCAATATCTACTAACCCAATCGATTTTATCCACATTCCAATATTTTTTTAAATCCCGAAACTGGATGAGCATTCCTTTCAGTCCCACGACAATAATACTTGCAAGAACACACTACAAATAAGAAATAGGTCAATGAAAAGGCAAGATAAATATTTTAATCAAAATTTAAAAGGACCAAACTATTTTCATTTCTTCCTTTCTTAAAGTACTTACTAGAAAAAAAAGCAATCATTTAGAAGACTAATGTAGCATTCATTTTGCTTAGAACTAACCAATTATTGCACCTCAAGAATACATCAATTCTAGGAAATAACAGGGTAAAACATCATTCTAAAAAAATTAAAAAGAAGAAAAAAGAAAAGTAATGAATGACAAGGGCAAATGGTATAATGCTAATTGACCTCAACTTTATAATAATAACCCACCACCATTTGTTTGAAAATAGTTTGTTGCAAACTAAATATTTATATCATGTATTTTTTAAATTTATGGATTGATTTCAGAGAGAGAAACGTCGATTTATTGTTTCATTCATTTATGCACTGATTGATTGATTCTGGTATGTGACCTGATTGGGGATTAAACCCGCAAACCTTGGCATATTGGGATGATGCTCTAACCAACTGAGCTCCCCAGATAGCTAAGTATTCCTTTATAACTGTTTTATCTGGTTTCACTGAAAGCTATAACTCTGTTGAAGTATGAACTCAGTTATTGAAAGATCCTCCAGTGGAAATTACATAATTTCACGATATGAATGAGGACAAGGGAGGACTGACACTCTCTCTGGTTCTCTGAAGACCAGAATCTTACTTGTGTAACTTTGGTACCTCAGGCTTAGGAAAGGCAAGATGAACCACTGGGACTAGGATTCTGAGTCCCTTCGTTTTTTTCTGTTTGTTTTGTTTCTATCTATATTTTTATTGATTTCAGAGAGGGAGAGAGCGGGAGAGAGATCAATGATGAGAGAGAATTACTGATTGGCTATCTTCTGCATGCCCTACATGAGGGATGAGATCACAACCCGGGCATGTGCCCTGACTGGGAATCAAACCATGACCTTCTGGTTCATAGGTCCATGCTCCACCACTGAGCCACATCGGCCGGGCTCTAAGTCCGATGTGTCAAAGGTGGTAAGATGTATTTTGTATTCTACTTTCTTCCCCAAGCACATTTTCTAATAATACAAGTTAGGATAAGATTCTTCCAAATTCTATTTCTTATAACAAGTATGGCCTAATTACACTCTTCAAATGAGCACAGAATAAATCTAATTCCATAATGGCATTTTATACAAGAGCTTAATGCTCAGAAAACTCCTGTTCCTCCCCCATCAATGTGGTCTTTTTCCACCTCTCTTCCGTTCCACCATTACTTATGTCACATGAATGACCTGGGGATCATTAATGATTATTGAAGTAAGTCATTTAGGAAATTTAAAAATATGTTTTTATGGGTCTCAGAGATGAAGGGAGAGGAAGAGAGAAATAGAAACATCAATGATAAGAGAGAATCATTGATTCACTGATGGGCTACCTCCTTCTTGCCCCCTACTGGGGATCAAGCCTGCAACCCAGGCATGTGCCCTTGACTGGAATTGAACCTGGGACCCTTCCGTCTGCAGGCTGATGCTTTATCCACTGAGCCAAACCAGCAAGGGCAGTCATTTAAGAAATTTTAATATGCAATGCTTCTCATTGAAAGTAAACTTATGGGAGAGCACTACTATACCATTGGCAGCCAGTAAAGCAAAGGTCCTACGGCATAAATGACTGTCAGGACGAAAATGCAAGATATGAGACAAGCCACCTGTAAAATACAAGACAGATAAAAAAGAAAACAGTGAACTTTCTAATAATCCCAATGTAATAAATGGGGGGCATAAAATTCTTAGTTCATCTTGATTAGGAAAAACAATATGCTGGCACGTGATTATTAAATTACGTAGATTATTATCTCTATTTTGCAGCTGAAGGAACCCGAATGTGACATCTAACAAACTGGTGCAATCTAATTAAGTCAGTGATGACAGAAAAGCAATTCTATGAATTAAAAAAAAAAAGACTTTTAGTACACATAACAACAATGGCTTTTTTTGTTTCATAGTAAAAACGTTTCAATTAAAGGTCCTTTGGTTTAACTCCTCTCCTCACTTCCCAGGGAGTTATCTGGGTAATACTTGAACATGCAGCTGAAAGTTTTGCTGATAAATTTTCACTGAGGTATTTATCCTTTTCTTTGGAGTCCTTTGTTAGAAAGGGCTCCAGTATGAAGCAGTTATATAGGATTACGGTAGAAGTCTCTGCAATGAAACAGATGCATTTTATTAATCCTGAAAAGCTACTAGTATCATCTTCACATCAATCCCTGCTGACAAGAGAAAGTTCACATGACTTGACTCTTAGCTATGTTCCATCTAATGGAAAACCTGGTTTCACACAAGCAAATGTCCATGACTTAATAGAAACTTTTGGCCAAACTGGCAGCCTCACAGAAAAGAGGGCTCTCACAGCACCACAGAGATGCCCAGAATACCGTGATTGAAAAAGCAAGGGGAATCGGGGTCCATTAGAATGGCTAACACTAAAGATAAATATATAACTAATCAAGTAGTCAAGCAATACTAAGGGCTGGTAAGGATTCAGAACTACTGGCATTCTCAGACTTTGCTGAGAAAACAGTTTGGCAGTTTCTTAGGAAGCTACACATACACTTACCGTACATCCCAGAACTGTTTAACAGAGATAAAAAAAATGCACGCGCATGTCAATACTTATAAAAAGCTTTATTAACAAACACCAAAAACTGTAAATAACTGAAAGGTCCACCAGTTGGTGAATAGATAAACAAATTATGGTATATCCTTACAGTAGAATACTACTTAGCAATAGAAAAGAATACAAGAATAAACTATTGATATACTAGTAGGCAACATTCTAGATGAAACTCAAAATAATTAAACTAAGGAAAAGAAGGTAGTCATAAGTTCCTTCCTTATTTAGTAGACCTTAATCTCCAGTACTCACCAGCATATAAAGAGGAAATAAGTCATTAGGTAATATAATAAAAATTGCCCCTAACAGAAGGTATAACAAATTGTCACTAAACTAGTCATATAGCAGTAATTGTTGATTTTACATTACAAACATTTTTAAAATATATATAAACATATTTTTATTGATTTCAGAGAGGAAGGGAGAGGGAGAGAGAGAGAGAAGCATCAATGATGAGAGAGAATCATCAATCCGTTGCTTCCTCCATACTCTTCCGACTCCCTCCTAGGGATGGGATTGAGCCCAAAACTCACGCATGTGCCCTGACCGGGACTCAAACTGTGACCTCCTGGTTCATAGGTCAACACTCAACCACTGAGCCACACCAGCTTAGGTTTGATAAAAATTTTAAACACAAATTGATGCTGTCATTCCACTAGACCAGAGAGAGCTAGGTGTCCAGAGAGCAAATAACAGAATTTATTCAGATACCTTAATAAGTAACTCATTATACCACCGCTTATATGGAAGAAAAAAAAAAGATAACTGCCAAGGTTTATTTCATGATAAAGACAATGGCATTCACCCTTGGGTGGGATCCTCACTCATGCATTTATCATGTACTTGAAAATAAAACCCTTATTCTTAGCTACAGATATGAACTTGGGGAAGGTAGTCTACACCCTGTGAAATGCTCTGAGGCTCAGGAAACAAGGAGATTTGAGAAAGGTCCTAAAACGAAGGAGTTAGAAGGTGTATGGACCATAAACTAAATTGGGATCCATCAAGCTAAATACTAGTATATCTTAAGATCCCAAAAATATCTTGTAGTAAAGATGATAAAGAAAATACAACTTAATTAAATAATCCTATTTCAAAACAGTAAACTATAACTGCCTTTGGGCTTTTCTCTAACATTGAACTTGTTTTTTATTTGCATGATGCTTTGTATGTACATCAATAATATTCTTACTAAACTACAATTTCGGTCCTACTGTTAAAATAACTCGAGTTAAAAGGGTCTTACTTACAAAAGTGACAAATGATGGGTGAAACATACTGTTTGTTTACCTTACATGGGAAGTCATAAAATAAAATGGGTCAAATAAACAAACGGCAAATGTCAGCTTCTTTACTGCACTTGCCTCATCATTGTTGATGCCCGAGGACAAAAGACAAGTGCATCTAATTGGACAAGAAATTTTTATCAGTTCTGCCTCATGTATCTACTCCTCAGGCATGAAAATCAATAATATAATAGCTTCTGCCCTCCATGTCCTCAAAATACTGCATTCGCTGTCTCCATAAGTAAGAGGTCCAGATCTAAACTTCAGATTTAAAAAAAAAAATTTGTGAGATCATGCAATCCAAGTCATCACTTTAGAGATGGACAACTCAATAAATGCCAAAAAAAAAAAAGAGTTAGATTAAGATATTTTCAGTGCTATAAGAAAATCCTCTAACTACAAGATTCTGTAATAATCCCATTTAGTTATATTTTTAAGCTTTACTGCCTTTTTTACTTTAATTTGCACATAAAGTACTGTTTCCTTATATATCTCTGATCAACTAAGAGGAAAAAATTTAAAAGCAAGTTGCAGCCAGAACAAGAAAGATAAAATTGTAACTTTTGCTGAAGCTATTTTGGCTCAGTGGATAGAGTGTCGGCCTGCAGACTGAAGGGTCCCGGGTACGATTCCAGTCAAGGGCACATCCCCAGTTGCGGGCACATCCCCAGTGGGGAGTGTGCAGGAGGCAGCTGATCAATGTTTCTAGTTCTCTGTTCCTCTCCCTTCCTCTCTGTAAAAAATCAATAAAATAAATTTTTTTTAAATTGTAACTTTTTTTATAACTCAGAAAAAAAAACTAAGTACCCCCTTATATGTTTTAACTAGTAAAATGCTCACATCCTTAATTACCCATAGGACAAACATTTTCTAGGTATTTTACTTTTCTTCAACCCTTACCATTTTATATTTAGGAATAAAGTGAAAAAATGTAAATGAAATCATGATAGTCAAGCTGCTAAATTACTAAAATCAAGCAGGTTGAGGGATGATAAAATGATTCTATTATTTTTTAAAACAAAGTTTAGATTTTGTTTACATTGAAATAATCTATACGAAATCGACTTTCTTCACCAAAAGTAGCAGCAATATTTTCTGTTATTCATAGATAACTACAAAACACATTTTTGTAGCTCTTCCAGGCTTTGATTATAAATCAAGATAAGGAGTAGGTACAGCATAGTCATGGAAAAAGACAAATGAAACAAATCCTTGTCAGTATCCACAGACTCTGATCCTGTGTTGACGGTGAAACAGAGTGTACGCCAAGAACCTGCTAAAAAGCTTATGAAAATACAGGTTCAACAAAGGAATGTAAACAGCAACATCCAGATTTGGAACAATGATAGGTTCTTCCATTCAACCTTTAGCTGTAACTTTTTTCTTTAAGGTAACTGAATAAAGACAAAATCTACACTGAAATCCTTATTTGGCAAGCTCACCTCTTTCTTTTACTGTCTGGTCATTCCCTTAACTGTCCATTACTGATTTTTAACAGCATACTTAAAACTCCTGCTGGTCTTTACTCATCTTTCTCCTGCCACTTGCTCCCCAAAGTAAACAAAACAAAACAAAACAAAAAACACCATACCCTTTCAAATGTATTATTCTAATCACCCCCCCAAAAAACAGTCTTACTTACTATAAGGGTAGGCTCTTAAAAATGTTCGACCTGTCACATAATATAGTTTACAAATCCTTGTTCAATTCCAATGTTAAATACATGTGAATTGTTTTAATAATGATAAGCAGATAATATGAGTTTCTATATTAACACATATATGCATTTTCTTGTATAGAACTACGGTTAACAGTGCAAGATCTGGAGTAAATCTATCTGGGTTAAAATCCCAGTTCTGCTAACTCATTAGCTCTGTGAACTGGGTAATTTACTTTAACCCTCTTTTCTTTAACTTTATCGTGTGGAAACTGAGAATAATAATTGTACTTTCTTCAGAGTTGCCTAAAAAGGGCTAAATGAGTTAGTTCATTTACATAGAAAGTATGCTATGCAATGCCTGGCACATGAATCAATGTATGTTTCCACCAACACTAACACTATGATAATCTTCACAGATTATCTTCATTGTCATCACTGTCATCTTACTTGGTATAGAGGAGGCACTCAAGTGTTGAGTTGACATGAGTTCCTAAAAATATATAATAATTGTTTCTTTAACCTCAAATGTGCACAAACATCTTATTACTTAAATACTTGTACATCTATTCCTACAGGAATCACAATGGTAATGACTAATTTTTCATACAATTGATTTCATCTCATCTAAAGAAAGTAAACAAAAATAGAAATTCTTCAAATTGATTAGCTTAGCAACAACAGAAAATCAGAGGCTCCAGAAGTGAGAGCTTTGGCTCGAAGGCTGCCAGCAGTAAAGCTGCTATTGGCAGTATTTTTTTTAGTGAGCTCACTGAATCTATTGGCTTTTGGAAGGAACATTTACAAGAATGAGAGGAGAAATGGACTTCCTTGAAAGTAGTTAGAAAAAAAAAATGAAGTAGTAAAACTATTTTCTGTGCTTGTTGGAGAGTGGGAATTTTTGAGCATGCCCCATTCCAGAGAGATGGTGGACTATGCCCCAATAGAGTTGTCAGTGCTGACATTAGGCCAGGTCTTAAGATATGGTCTCATGGCCCCTTCCCAGCATGTAGGCCTTCTTTCACAGGACACTGTCAGCTTTCTGAAGACCAGGATGACCCTGTGAATAACATGGTCGTTGATGGCATAATTCTGACATTACTTGGGAATAATTGTTTTGTCTTAGGTTACATGCTCTGCAAAAACAGGATGTGGTTAATGTGCTTAAAAGTGGTCTTGCTCAAGGGGTCGCGGCTGCTCTCTGGACTCACTGCATGGAGAATGGCAGAGCAGATGCCAGGCTAGTCACTCACCAGGCCGGCTAATAAAGGCTCCCGAAATTTTAATTTGGTCTGGGCTCCAGTGCTCTTTACTCACATTTGCTCCACAACAGTGTTTTTTAAAAATATATTTCTATTTTTGTTGATTTCAGAGAGGAAGGGAGAGGGAGAGAGAGAAACATCAATGATGAGAGAGAATCATTAACCAGCTGCTTCCTGCATGCCCCGGTGAGCCCACAATGACCAGGAATGGAACCATGACCTTCTGGTTCATAGGTCGCCACTCAACCACTGAGCCAAGCCAGCCAGGCTATCTTCTGTACTTCAGATAGAAGCCTGCTCTTAAGCACTCTCCCACAGAAGGAGCATAGAGGCCAGGGAGTTCCCTGCTAGACAAAGAAGTTACCTGTGTCTTTGCCCCTGTGCTGTATAGGCCAATGGTCCTCCCCATGACAGCAGCATTTGGTATGCAGAAGAAAAATGAAGGAATCACATTGCTGAGGCCATGAGCCAAACATTCCTAGAAGATTGATAACAGGGGAATACATCATTTTTTTTAAATAACAATCAACTTTTAGACACCACAGGTACAACCTATCAAACCATGAGTCTTGTTCATATCCCATTTCTGTTCTCTCTAATGGTTGTGATTTAGCCATTGCAAAAAAACAAACAAAACACACACACACACACACACACACACACACTCAAAAATGGACATTTACTAAGTGATGAAATGAGGAAGAAACTATTCTAAGTACTTTAATCATTTAATCCTCATAACAACCATATGGGAAAATACAAGATATTTATTGTCTCTGTTGCCAATTTCTCCCTCGTCTTTTAAATCTCTATAATCAAGGCTGTAACACTGACAACAGCCTCATATATCTCATGTTTACTGTGTTTCTTGATCATATTATTTTATTGGGCTGGATTAAATCTCATGTTGTTTTGTACAGTAACATGCTGCACAGGTTTGTAGTCTAGGAGCAATAGGCTATAACATATACTGAGTGGCCAGATTATTATGATCTCTGAACGCATAATAATCTTGCCACTCAGTGCATGAATTGATGCATGGGTGGGGTCCAGCCAGCCTGGTCAGGGGGAGGGGACATGGGGGGCTGGCTGGCCTACCTGCTGGTTCAATTCCTGGTTGAGGGGACAATTTGCATATTAGCCTTTTATTATATAGGTTAGACACTGAGTGGCCAGATTATTATGCATTCAGAGATCATAATAATCTGATCACTCAGTGTATATGTAGGTGTGTAGTAGCTGATACCATCTAGGTTTGTAAAAGAGAACTCTGATGTTTGAAAAATGACAAAATAAGCCTTATGACACATGTTTCAATATGTATCCCCATCAGTCACATGACAATATTCTTCAGTCCTTCCCTTTTTCCCAGATGGTATCTACATTCAATCCAGAATCGGTCCACTTCTCATCTTTTCCACTGCTACATCCTGGTACACACCATCTAATTTTACCTGGATTCTTGTAAAAACCTCCTGATGTTTTGTTTTGTTTTCTGCCTTTCCTGTTACCAGTAACTACAGAGACCAGTATCACTGCCCTTACAGAACTGACATTCTAGTGAGGGAATGCTGACAAAAAAAACAAGATGAATATGTCAAGTACAGCATAGGATGGCATGGAAAAATCTGGAGTTTAGGATTTTATTTTAGGCTTCTCTGAGAAGGGAACATTTAAATAAGGGAGGCATGCAAATATGTAGGAGACCAGTTTCTGGAAAAGGGAAGAGCAAGTGCACATGTCCTGAGCCAGAATCATCAGTGGTGGATTCAATGAAAGGCAGGCAGCAAACGGAATAAAAAAGGATATATAGAGAAACAAAGGGATGTAGAGCTTAGTAAACCTTGGTGAAGAGATTTTTAACCTGAGTACAAGGGTAAACCCACAGGAAGCTCTGAGTTGAGAAAAGATACTACTGTATCCCTTGTTTTCAGTGCCTGGACGTTAATAAGATTTGATACCCATCAGTTGAATGAATAAATCTTCTTTTGTACAGATGACAAAACTGGGCACAAAAATAATGAAGAGCACCCAGTGTCAGGGTGAGATTAGACAAAGGTGAGTTGACATTTGTAACTAGTGTTCCGCAGCTATCTCCGCTGAGCTGTAGGGATATTGGGGGGGGGGGGGGGGGGAAGGGGGCACCACAGGGCTTAAACCAAGACACTGGGAGAAATAGATTCTAAAACGTGATTAACATGATCTGCATTGTTTGGCCTTCCAAAAGTAGATTCTCACGTCCTTTAGTTTTCTACTAAGAAGAGTAATACTAGTGTTTTCTGAACTTTAAAAAACCATCATTTTTATAAGTAAGTACTCAATGGTAATATATTTGGATTCCCACCTAAAAGCAAATTAAAAAGGAAATCAAGATGCCCCTCTTTCTCAAATAAGATAAAGTTATAAACCAACCCATAAAGGACAGATATTCAGTTATAAATGATTTAGAGATTTTTTTTCCCTTTTGTTTTTGTCCAATCTACTCTTGCTGTACATGTAGGAAAGTTATATTTTTCATAGGGACAACATTTTCAGGACCTGGGAGTTCACAGCAGGATGATACGATAGCTATGGAAAGGGGCTGGGGCATACTCCACCTGGTTGTCATCCACAGAATATTTGAACTTTCTGGCAGATTCTTGAGCAAGAGCCAGGGAGGCCGCATAGCCCACGAGTGCGACTCCAAAAGCTTCTGTGACTACTGCAGAGAGGACATTCATGGGGGGAGCTCTCGGTGAAGGAATTCTGTGGAAAGAAATACACCATGAAGCCATCAACTTCCATGTAATTTCTGTAACAACTTGCAATGGATTCCACTACAGCGGTGACTCTGAAGTTTACAGAGAATAAGTAAGATGCCCATGAGAAAGCCAGGCAGCCTTGCCCTTAAAAGCCCTTTGCTTTCCACATTATTTAACAGAAAAGCAAACTCACAAGGAACACCACGGGGACAACACCACACCACTGCCATCTGCACTCGAGCTCACCGCAGGAGCTTGCCCGGCCGGCTAATAAAGGCTCATCAATGATGAAAAATAACTAGATAAAAAATGTTCTATATTGGAACAAAAGCAAATTTGGAGCTTTCTTTCATTTGAACCTTCTCAAATATTTATTTGGCTGGCATGAGAGACTGGATTCCTTGCCTTAAACACGATAGACCTGTATGAGGACACTAGTTTACTGTGAGCTACAACTTCCTGAGCTAATCCTCAAATTGGCTATTGAGTTCATCAGCTTAATTATGTTTCTAACTCGATCCTTTCACAGCACACTTAACTATGCATCACATATGTCAGGGAAAATATGCATAAAGGCTACATTTACCCTCTGTTGCAAACTATAGGGCCACAGTTAACTGTATCTCAGGTTTAAAGAGTTTTTTAAAATATTTATTTCAATGAATACCTGACCATTGTCTTATTGTCTTTTGAAAACCACTTGAGCCAAATAGACTCATCATTTATTTATGCCTGACACTTTGGTATGTGTAAATATATATATATATATTTTTTTTAATTTTTGTTTTTTAATTGTAACCACCTGACTGGCATGGTTCAGTAGTTGAACGCCAACCTATGAATCGGGAGATCCTGGTTCGATTCCCAGTCAAGGCACATTCCTGCCTGGGTTGCAGGCTCTATCCCCAATGTGGGACATTCAGGAGGCAGCTGATCAATGAATCTCTCTCATCATTGATGTTTCTATCTCTCTCTCCCTCTCTGAAATTAATAAAAATATATATTTAATAAAAAAAGTACAATATTTTTGTAAATAACTTCCAAATCTTTTATCTGAAGCAATGTGTATAAGACAATCAACTAATAAATCTCAGAGGGAAGGAGTTGGAAGGCAGGAAGAAATTAACCAAAGAACTAATATGCATATATGCATAACTCATGGACACAGACAATAGTGTGGGGAAGGCCTGGGAGGACTGCATGCATAGAGAGGAACAGATGGGGACAGGAAATTGGGGACAACTATAATACTGTCAACAATAAATTTGAAAAAACAGTTACCAAATGTCCTAGTTACATGTAAACAGTCTAATATGTTAGTTTTTCTCTATATGTGTATTATTTGTTTTTATCATTTAAAAAAATAAGAAAATAATTAGAATTTTGTTCTCTACAGGTTCTTTGAAAGAAATAAAATCCATACCACCTACCTCCAGTCTAGTCTTTCAAAAAACAAAGAAACATACAAACAAAAAAGTAAGAAAAAAAAGACATTACCCTTTTGGAATATGACCAAGTACGTCTAATCCATATGTATTTTCCATATCGATATAATAACAAGCAAACGATGCAGCAATAACCTGTGTGGTTACATTTGGAAAAAAAATTATTAGTACCCTTTCAAACACCTTTTTAAAAATTAATGTTGAAAGTAAACATCATTCATGTGTCCCAGGATTGTCATGAGTGATGTAGCAGTTGTACAAATTTTTTAAAAATTAAGAAATTTTAAAATTCAAAGGATACTTCTGAGATTTTAGAGCACTTAATTTGCAGTCTCAAAAATTAAATGACACTATAATAATACTAGAGGCCTGGCGCATGAAATTTGTGCGCTCAGGGGGCTGGGGAGGAGTGTCCCTCAGCCCTGCCTGCGCCGACTCGTAACTGGGACCCCTTGCTCCTTTCAGCCCCCAGCTCACTGCTCCTTAATGTTCACCAGCTTCTGGCTGAGCAATTCTCCCCGTGTGGGAGCACATTGACCACCAACGGGAAGCTTCTGCATTGAGCATCTGTCCCTTTGTGGTCAGTGCATATTATAGCGACCGATCATTCTGGTGGTTCCTCCATAATGGTTGCTTAGGCTTTTATTATATAGACTAGGGGCCCAGTGCAAGAATTTGTGCACCTTGAAAGGAACTGTGGGCAGCAAGACTGCAGTAGGCAAATGGGCGGGTCTCAGCCCATCCTCTGCGCCCCCACCCTGCCCCTCCCACCACAGCCCCCGGTTCCCTGTCTGCTCGTAGCCACGTTTCCGCTGCCACAGCCACCCCGGCTCCCACACGTTGATGGTGCTGGTGCCACTCGCACCCACTGACACCCCCTGATGATCAGCACACATCATAGCAACCGGTTATTCCACCATTTGGTCTGTTTGCATATTAGCCTTTTATTATATAGGACTTTTTTTTTTTTTTAATGTTTTACTCTACTTAAACCCAATTATATCTAATTTTGAAGAGGGGGGAAAAACAGACTATAGGAGTGTCTGTGTGTGTGTGTGTGTGTGTGTGTGTGTGTGTGTGTGTGTGTGTGAAGTTACCACAATCCAACCTTAATACTTGTCTCTTGTGACATGAAGGGATGTTTTAGAAAGTAGCATGTTTTGAGTAATTGCATTGATATTCCTAATAAAAATTAGTAATCAATAATGTGGACAAAAAGGGGCCACATGCTAACCTGACTAGCTCAGAGAAAGCCTGCGAGGCGGCCTTGCAAATTCAGAGAGCTGAGGTGACCACAAAGGACGCTCTAAAATTAAAAACTTTTTTTTTTAACTAAAAGCAGTTTATGGTGGGTAGTCATGTCCGAGGCTGGTATCTTCCTTGACAAAGGTCAATCTTTACCTTAACTGTACCTCTCAATATTGTTTGCATCTATGATAACATATCGTTGGGATATCGAAGTAATTTTCCTTTTTATGGGCCCCTGAAGGCACAGGCGCTGCCCGGCGGAGACCACAGACCCCCTCATTGTCACTGAGTTCACTGCTGACTGTGCACTATCCTATACCCACTATGTAAAAAAGGTATGTCTATCCTTCTACTTTTTATCCAATCCCAGAGGTTTCCCACCTTACCTTCTCCCACCTGTGGATTCCATGGGACCCACCTACATCTCCTCTTTTGATTGTAATGTAAAGAACAAAGTGCAAAACTTTGCAGCCAGTATCACTCGGGCCTCTCCGCCAAGCACCAGCTCTCAGGGAGCTCTGCTTACCATGACTCCCTCCTCTGACCAGTCTCTAGGTGTTCCTTTGGTGGTCCTTAGATACAACATGCCACACAGCTATGCTTCTCTTGTTTGTTTGTTTTGTTTTTCTTCTTCAAGTTCATTGCACAGTATTTTAGCTATAAATCCCGTCCTTGGCTAAGAGCAAGGGCACAAAGCCTCCTGTTATGCCACAGCCTCTGGCCCCCTGTAGAAACGTCTCCATATTCAAAGTCTACGGATATACGTTCTTATACTTAGGTAAAAATAACAAGAATATGAGAACTTCTGTAATAACCGAAAGCGTGTGTGTGAAGTGACTTCAACTGTTTCCTGGTCTTACATGAATGGATAGCCACACAAATGAGACATCTTCATGAGAGGTAGGAGCAGCTGTGTGCTACTGTAGGCAACATGGTGAACCTCAGCAGGTCACGCCAACAGCTGGCAGACATTGTAGGGCAGAATGCTAACTGTAGATTTCATACTTACCAGGACCAAATCGACAGGCAGGACAGCTTTAATTCTCCTTTTAAACTGCTCGTTTAACTCTTTCACCGTCACAAGCACCACAATGCTCAGCAAGGATAGGAGCAGGGCTTCCAGGCGAACAGACTTGATGTTCTCAAACACATATGTGTAGATCTACGAAGATGAGAAGAAATGCAAAGAAAGTAGAGGGTCACCCACACGGTAACCACCTCTGACTCCAAACGAACTCCGCAATGTTTACCAAGAACTCTTAATGGCTGTAGGATGGGAAGGTGAGGTAGAGATAGGTGGTCAGTGCAAAGCTCTCATTCGCTGCATGCACAAAATTTCTTTGCCCTTGATGCTTCTAGCGAATGCAGGGGTTGCTTCTTTCATACATAAGAACACTATGTGTGACTCCTCCTGACCAGCCACTTCAAGAAGAGATGCTCAAGCTCGTTAGTTAAGCACAGTAAGTCTCTTGGACCCCCCACTCTTCCTCAAATCCGAGAATCCAATACAAAGGAGTTAAGCGCTGGTATTTAAATGGTATCAGATATTTGGTCTAGCGTAAAATATTACCATATTCTCATTCATTCAATATTTTATTTACCTTTCTATTGTCACATGCTTTACGCCAACCACCATGCTCAATTCTAGGTCTACAATGGTGAACAATTTAGGTAAGCATCAGTATTTTTAGAGCTAACAATCTAGCAATTTAAATTACCAATTAAAGCAACAAATTAGCTCACTATGGTGCTATAAACATAAAGGTGCACCCGAAGCATATGTGTCTTAGAGGGGTTAGTGGTCAGCAGAGCTGTCCCTAAAGAAGATAAACAGGAATTGGCCAGATGATGGATCAGAGAAGTAGTGGGAAGAGTCTGTTTTGCCTAAAATACATTGAATGTGAGCAGTGAGAAGACTGTATGCCTTCTATATAGATCTACACATATTTATGTATATATATATATATATGATAAATAGGCTGAGACACTGGTGCCATTTCAAATAAATCCATTTGTGTGTGTATTCTTTATATTTATTTGAGTGTACTTTTCATTTTTATTTATTTTTTTCTCACAGTTTACTTTCAATTTTATTTTGTATCGTCTGGGTATACAGGTTAAAGTCAAAGAAAGAATCTTAAAAGTAGCAAGAGGAATACAGGATTGTCATGAAATATTCAAAATGAGGAAAAACAAGGTCCTTTAGCCTGCTACATTTTCTATCCAAGTCACAACTGAATCAAGCTACCGATGAGCTTTCTGTTTCTCTCCCACTCAATTTACGCTGTCCATTTTTCAGGCTATATGAAACATCCCCAAAATTCACAACAGAAATATCAAAATAACTGAGAAGCAGATATGGGCTTTCAGCAAACCACCATGTGTTTTTAACTCGGAAATCTCAGATTTGTTCTCCACATCTAAACCTCATGTATACATATCTAATTGTGATCTCATTCTCTAGAGAAGAAAAAAAGTCATGGGCTCTGCTTTCCTTCTGACTTTTTAATCCCTTTTTATTAACATTCTTGGTTCCCACTTTGCAGCCTGCATGAGTGTTTAAACTAGAAAAATGCTTTGCGTGTACTGCAGAGACAGGGCTGAGGATAAAACTGTTTTCCAGTTCTGAAACTCCTTATTTTTAAGGAAGGAGATAAAACTTCCAACAAGGGCAGTCACATAGATTGCCACCTTTGCCCTCTGCTCTTGGTTGCCCTGTCTAATTAGCATATTTTGCTTTTAGTATTATAGATAACTCAAGTTTCTTTTTTTTTTTTTTAATGTATTTTATTGATTTTTTTACAGAGAGGAAGGGAGAGGGAGAGAGAGAGCCAGAAACATCGATGAGAGAGAAACATCAATTACTTGCCTCCTGCACACCCTCTACTGGGGATGTGCCCACAACCAAGGTACATGCCCTTGACCGGAATTGAACCTGGGACCCTTGAGTCTGTAGGCCGAGGCTCTATCCACTGAGCCAAACCGGCTAGGGCTAACTCAAGTTTCTTTAACATGGAAATATCTCAGTGTTGTAATGAACCTAATCCTACTTTGTGAAATACACACCAAAATGTATATGAACGAAGACAAACTGGAAAACTCACGTAAAATAAGCGGAATGACCCGGTTATGTAGGGCATTTTCATTCCCAAGAGATACTTGACTTGTGAAGTCACAACATTCGTGGCAGCCCCAGTTGTCATTGCGCTGATCACAGGCTCCGTGAACAGAAAAGTAGCACTGCCCAGCTGCAGGGCAAACATGGCCACCTAAGAGGACAAAGCACAAGAAGTCTCCCAAGCTTGCCAGATAGTATCATGTCCCACACCACTGCGCTTCACACAGACATGGAGAACCAATGCCAAAGGGGATGCTACAATGTTATGAGCTCAATCCCTTGAGTTTTCTTGGCAGCATTACCAGGCTCCAGGACTCTAATAAATGGTATTAGGCACAATCGAAAGTGTTTCGATTAAAATGAACATGTTATATTTTTCCTGAATATTTACTTCACTGTATTTCTCTTTTCCTAATCACACATGTTACCAAGAAATTCTAGAAAATCAGTTGATCTATGGGGCTCTGTGGGGGGAAAAATCAAATTTGCATGATCATATTTGCAATTATTTTAAAAATCTAAAATGGCACCATTACTGGTGCCTTAATATGGTTGAATCTGGGCTGGCAAGACAAAAAACAAAAACAAAACCAAAACAGCCAAAACCAGTTTGGCTCAGTGGTAGAGCATCGGTCTGTAGACTGAAAGGTCCCTGGTTCAATTCTGGTCAGGGGCATGTACATTGGTTGCGGGCACATCCCTGGTAGGGGATATGCAAGAGGCAGCTGGTCAGTGTTTCTCTCTCATCGAAGTTTCTAGCTCTCTATCCTTCTCTCCTCCTCTCTGTAAAAAAAAAATCAATAAAAAATATATATATATTTTTAAAAAACCAAACCAAAACAAAATAACAACAAGAGAAAAAAACACCTCTTTTTTTTCTTCAGTGAAATAGCAGGAAGCTCCTAAGGAGCATGTGTTCTGAGTAACCATAGGTGGCGGGTGCCAGGAGTATAAAAGGATTAACTACTTCAGTTCTTTGAGGAAGACTGGAAGCCAGGGCAGGGACTCATGCATAAGGTGGGAATCCCAGCCAGGAAGACTGAGTTGGTTTTAATGTACAGAACTGCACATAATTATTTAGAAGAGTACTCGTGACGCCATGCCAGTGAAACCAGCTTTGTCAAATTTATCACAGGCTGAGACACTGGTGCCATGTCAAATAAATCCATTTGCTAAGACAAACTAAAAATTTTTTATAGTTTTTAGTTTGTCTTCTTGAGGAAGACACTCTTTCTCTTTCCAATAATATTTTTTTTCTAGAGAGGAATTAAGCTTTCCCCTCTTAACTATGTAGGAAACCAACTATCATCCAAATATTTGAATCCTAAGAACAACCCAAGCAAAACAACTCAGTGGTGAGCCAGGGTCCCAAGTCAGAAATGAAAAACTCTTTTTAGAACGTTCGTTCTTAAAAAGTCAAAAAAAACTATTTCTCTGTAACTTCAATATATTAAGCCTAACTCATTTACTCAATCAGTCCTTATAGAGTAACTATTCTCTATACCAGACTGTATTTTCATAAAGATAAAACACATCTGCCCCTTATCCATCTAAACAGACACACCCATGAACATGAATAAAGATAAAGCTCCAACTGTCTCTCCTTGGCTCTGTCTCAATTTCCTCATCCCCACATCTCAGGACCACTTACCTGAATCACACCTCCCAAGAAGGAAACAGATGTAGCAATACCAATTCTTTCCATCTCAAAGTCAGTTAAGCCCAGGATGCTTGTGTTACTTTGTTCAGTGAGGTTCTGGCTACTCGGAGGGACAAGCCGTTCCACCGCGTTGGCTGATATTAAGGATGTCAAGGCACAAGTGCCTAAAACGGGGGATGGAGAGGGGAATCTCCTATTAGTAACAGACACAATAAAAATTGTTGATGTCCATCACTGAAGTTGAATCCATACTGTAAAACCAAGTCCATCTATTGGAAACACTCACCTCTACACCCCCATTACTCCAACCTTTGTTCCACTCCATGGAATAAGTAGAAAATCATGTTTTGTATACACATATTCCTTCAACAGACAACCACATCCATCTACTTACTGCTCCCTCCCAGACCATACACATCCCAACCTCTTGGTAGACCTGCACAGAGAATATCCCCAGTGTAGGGATTAAGATCATCGACTAGACATAAACCTAGCTCCTCTCATTTTTTCCTCAAAGCATATTACTGTGAGTCTGAAATTGCCTCATCTGTAAAATGGGAGTCATATATCTATATTTCAGAGTTTGGGGCAATACAATTAAGATGATAAATATAAAGACCCCAGTATGGTTTAATATGAGTTCTTTGCATGAATTTGAAGTTCTTCACCTACTATGCTTGCTCTTCTATCTACTTGTGCAAACCCTGCTATCTTTTAAGATCTGTCTCCAATCCCATATCCATATGGATCCATTTCAAAACATGCAAGCCAGGTTTAATCATTCTTCATGTGCTTTCATAGGAGAGTAGACCTTTATTATAGTATAACAACATGCTGTGGCCATAAAAGGATTAAGTATGCCATTTCTGTGTAATGTAATTAAAGTTCAATGGTATTTCCCCAAAATTGTCCTGGTCTCACACAAATGTGGGACAATTTTCAATGCCTTATTGTGTAGCAAGTACACAAAACAGTGTCTTGTTTCTAAGCCAGACACTGTATATCAATCATCTCATCTAATTCTTACTATAATCATGTGCATTTTTTTGCATTTCAATATTAAGAAAGCATCAAATAAACCTTTGAAACTTTAAGCTTATGCAGATAACAAGCAAAATATGAGATATACACCCAGGACTAACTCTAAAGCCATGTTTTTAAACATCTCATTCAATATCAATATATTTGTGACAGTTCACATTATATTTGAAAATGCAGAGCTCCATAAGCTAAAAGATATATATTAATTAAAGAGCATTAGAGATTATAGCTTAGAAGAAACCTAAAAGATCAATTATGTGGAAAATACTTTTCAATATTTAAGTCACTAAATTTTAGAAATTCTTATCTTTATCCCTCAAAGTGCTTATCTTCTACATTTCATTGTAAAATCAGAACATTTGTCTTCCTTTTACAGGCTTATTACAGCTAAAAAAGCAAAGACTCTTAAACAATAAACTGGTTACATAGTAATGTAGTTCACAACATGCATCGAGTGGCTAAGGCACAGAAAGTAAAATATCTTAGCTCTAATATTTGCTGAGATTTTCCATAGTAAAGGTAGAAATGTAATCTAATAACTAATGATCACTTCTCAGGTCCTTTTCTTCACAAACACAAGAGGCATCATCAGAAATAGAAAGTATTACCTGTGACAACATGACGTCCCATTCCAAAGATGGCATAAATGATGGCAGGGAATAAAGACCCGTATAAACCAAACACGGGGTGCACAGATGAGAGAATGGCAAAGGCCAGCCCTGTGAAGAAGAGCAGCATAACAAAGATAATTTTAAAACCCAGAATGTAGTCCATTACAAAGTAGAATGAATATTGGCTTATTCAGTAACAACATAAGCCATAATTTTATTATTCTATTTGCTCCATGAGAGACTAGCATCATGGTTCTAAATAACAGAAAATTCACTCAGTTTATATTTCGTTTCATTTCAAATTTTTGGAGTACTGCTTTTTGTCCTTGCTTACAAAGATCTATATATATAAAAGCCCAGCAACCAGATAGTAGAATGAGCAGAATCACCAGACGACCAGTTGCTATGATGTGCACTGACCACCAGAGGGCAGACACTCAATGCAGGAGCTGCCCCCGGCGGTCAGTGCGCACCCAGAAGTAGGAGCACCACCTAGCTGACCAGGATGAGCGGCACTCCCACAGAGGACAGATCCCCCATAGGCCTTGCCCCCCCACCAATGCACAAATCTGTGCTCCGGGCCTCTAGTAACTACATGAAAATATTTGTGTTGAGTGTCTTCCTGTAGAAGTGTCAATATCACAGCAAAATATCTTTGCACACTTAGCAAAGCATTTTCATGTATATTTTTTTTAAGTTTTTGTTTTGTTTTTGTTAATCCTCACCTGAAGATAATTTCCCATTGAGTTTTTAGGGAGAACAGAAAAGAGAGGGAAAGACAGTGAGCAATATGGATGTGAGAGAAACGCATCATTTGGTTGCCTCCTGCATGAGCCCCTACCGGGGCCCAAGCCCAGACGGAACCTGCAGCCATGGTATGTGCCCTTGACTGGAAATGAACCTGTGGCCCTTTGGTCCGCAGGCCAATGCTCTATCCACTGAGATAACTGGCTAGGGCTCACATGTACAGTTTTATTTGCCTAATAACATCTGTAAGATAGGCAGGGTTTATAGCTTTACCACTGACAAATGAGAAGCCTGACATGAAAGGTGACTAAGGCTGGGACAAAAAGAGCACACATTCAAAGTGGCCTTGTTGGGCTGGCTGACTGGCTGGCCTAAGAGTATGTATCTCGGAGGCGGGGCCAGTGTGTGCATGCATGCAGTTCTCATATCTGGACCACAAGGATTTAGTCATTTCGGTACAATTTCTTAGAATGAAAAAAGAATCAACTTTGATTATTCAAAGAGTAAGAAGTAGCTAATAACTATTCATCTTCATTCCTAATAGATTCTACTGTCTACATACTTTGTATGTTGTATGCACATCAAGAAAATGTCCTAGTGCGTCAAAATGACTACTAGTGGTTTAGAGGTGACCGAAATAAATGTGATCTTGTTTGTGGCTGGTCCTTGTCATTAAACAGCTAGTTAAGGTACTGATAAACCCAATCAAGTCTATATACATTCTTCTCCATGTTTAATAAATAGGGTGTTCCATTCAATAAGAGCACAATTATAACCTTAACTTTCTTAATCTGGGATAAAATTGCTGCAGGTGCTAATAGATATTTGTATTACTTCATCTAAACTTAAATAAGAGCAAAAGCAATATAATAAACAAAAGTATAAAGGAATGAAATAAAAATGAGTATTAGGTTAAAGGATATCCAAAAAGGGATAGAGAGAAAAGCAAGGAAAAGAAGGGTGAAGAAAGAGAGAAAGGGAGAGAGAGAGAGAGAGAGAGAGAGAGAGAGAGAGAGAGAGAGAGAGAGAGAGAGAGAGAGAGAGAGAGCAAAAGAGAGAGAGGGGGGGAGAATATGGAGAGAGAAATAAAAAACTTAAGATTTTTAATGGCTCATTATTTTTAAAGATCAAAAATCATGTATTGGTAATGCAAATTTGCTACATCCACACACACAAAAATGACTACTGGAAAACTTTAAAAGATGCAATATTTGGGGGGGAGGGGAATGTTTTGTGGATACAGTAACATTTAATATAGTAGAGGAATAGAAAAGACTCTATATTCCTACATCAATCTCATCAGTAGTTTCAAGGCCTGTGAGCACTGCCAAATTCCCAGGGAGTGTGAAGTTGGATATTAACCACAAACACCCCTTCCTCCTCAGACCCAGGCTGCAGTGAGAATGGCTCCCATGGACATAGGATCTGAACTCTAACCAAGAAGGAGCGTGAAAGCAAGCAGGTAGTTCAGTCTCTGCCTCTGCTGCTGTTATAATCTCTTGGATGAGAGAGCTGGAAACTGACACTGTCACTACTGATGAGAAAGAACCGTTTATCACAGAGAAGGCGATGTTTCATATTTAAGATACAAGTATTTACTTTCAGGACAGTTTTGTCTGGATTTACACAATAAGCAATTATTCTGAAAATCAAAGAAAACTGGAACTGTAAGAGATTGTTTCTAGAACTTGATAATTGTGCAGAAATTATATAGAGAGAGCCAATCTGTTGAAGACTTTATATTTTGTTGTCTTCGTGACCTCACTATAAAGTGGAGAGGCAGACTTAGAGGCAGGCAGTGGTTTTACTCCCATACATACAAGAACAATATTATTTTATAGACTGTAGTCCATGGTTATGGAGCTTCAGTTACTACCCAGAAAATGACAGCTCACACAACTCCATGGAACAACTATTCCCACAGGATTCCCTGCCCTCACTTGTCAATCCTTTTTGTGAAACAACCTTCAGGAATAGCTTCTGGTCAAGATGGCGAAATAGGTCAACTCTATGCTCACATCCTCCAACGGCCATATCAAAATTACAACTAAATTATAGAATAATTCTCTTTGAGAACCAGCTGAAGACCAGCGGAAAGGAATTCCTATAATTAAGGATATTTAAAAAAAAAAAAAAAAAAAAAAAAAAAGCAACATCAAGACCACAAAAGAGGAAGAGAGGCAGAACAGGCAGGTCCCACATCCCTGGTGTGGAGAATAAGGATTGAGAGTGGTATCTCAGATGCAGAGGTCCTCCCTGAGAAATGTGGGGTCCCAGTCCCACATCAGACTCCCCAACCCGGGGCATCAATACCAGGAAGAGGAGTCCCCATAACACCTGGCTGTAAAACACAGTAGATGTTAGTGGTATCCCAAATATACAAAGGGCTACTATAGATGGAGGCGTGTCAGGTCTTAAAGAGACCAAGCACATACTGACTTGCTCAAAAATTCAATTACTCTGAACTCTAGCACAGGGGTAGCAGCACGAATGGCTCCAGGGACATACAGAAAGAAACTAAAATGACTAACTTCAGGGCAAGAGTGGGAGGGTCAAGGATTGGAAAACCCTATCTGGGGTGCTAGAAGGCATTGTAGTTTCTTTGAGGAAACTATCAGAAAGAGAAATTAAATAAATAATCCCACTTACAATGAATTCACAGGTATTATGAATAAATGGGTATGTACTCATAAATTTATTATGTATTTTATTATTTATTCCAAGGTGGTGAAAGACCTGCACTTAAAAACTACACAACATTGAAGAAAGAAATTAAAAAAGATACAAATAAATGGAAGCATATACCACGCTCGTGGATACAAAGGGTAAACATTGTTAGAATATTTACTAATATATTACCCAAGGCAATCTAGAGGCGGTGCAATTGCTATCAAAGAACCAATGGCAGTTTTCACAGAATTAGAATAAATAGTCCTGAAATTTATATGGAATCACAAAAGATGAGAAAGAAGAACAAAGTTGGAGGTATCATGCTACTTGATACCAAACTATACTACAAGGCTATAGTATTGAAAACAGCCTGGTACTGGTATAAAAACAGAACGTCGATCAATGAAATAGAGCAGAAAGCCCAGAAAAATTCCATGCCTAAATGACCAACCAATCTATAACTGAGAAGACAAGTATATACGATGTGGTAAAGATAGTCTCTTCAATAAATGGTGTCGTGAAAATTATACAGATACATACAATAATGAAACTAGATCACTACCTTAAATCATTTACAAAAATCCATTCAAAATAAATTAAAAATGTAAATGTAAGACTTGAAACCATAAAACTCCTAGAAAAAAATAGGCAGTAAATTTCTTGGCTTTGCTTTTACTGATATATTTTTTTATGTGTCTCTCTACGCAAGGAAAACAAAAGGAAAAAAAATAAACCAATGGGACCACATCAATCTAACATTTGCACGGTGAGTGAAGGAAACCATCAGCAACAATAAAAAAAACCACATCCTACCAAATGGGAGAAGATATTTGCCAATGATATATCTGAGAAAGGGTTAATATCCAAAATGTATAAAGAACTCACACCAGAAAAATAAATAGCCTTATTTTAATAATGGGCTAACGATCTGAATAGACATTTCTCCAATGATGACACACAGGTGGCCAACAGACATATTAAAAATAATCAACACCAGTAATCATGAGGGAAATGCAAATGAAAACCAGAATGAAATATCACTTCACAGATATCAGAATGGCTATCATCAATAACTCAACAAGTGCTGGCAAGGATATGGAAAAAACACATTGTTTTTTGGGATTATAAATTAGTGCAGCCATTATATAAAAATAGAATAGGTTCCTCAAAAAATTAAAAATAGAACTACAATATGACATAGCAATTCTCCTTCCGAGTATGTATCCAAAGAAATCCAAAATACTAACTCAAAAGGATATACACATCCCTATTTTCATTACAGCATTAGTTTTAATAGCCAATATATGAATGCAACCTAAATGCCCTTTGATAAACAAATGGGAAAGATGTGTACCTATATACAATGGAATATTATTCATGCATAAAATGGGCAATCAGACATCTCCTGAGGGGTCCCAGATTGCAAGAGGGTGCAGTTCGGGTTTAGAGACCACCCCCCCCCTCCATGCACAAGCTTCATGCACCAGGCCTCTAGTCTATGAAATAGAGCAGAAAGCCCAGAAAAATCAATTTGCATATTGATTCAGTCAATTTGCATGTTAGCTTTTTATTATAAATGCCTAAACGACCAACCAATCTATAACATTTAGGCATCTATAATAAAAAGCTAATATGCAAATTGACTGAACAGTGGTACGACCGGTCGCTATGATGTGTACTGACCACCTGGGGGCAGACACAACGCAGCAGCTGCTCCCTGGTGGTCGGTGCACTCCCATAGGGGGAGTGCCGCTCAGCCTGCAGCCGGACTCACAGCTGCAGAGTGCAGTGGTGGTGGTGGGAGCCCCTCCCACCTCTAAGGCAGTGCTAAGGAGCAGCGAGCCCTGCTTCCGGCTGAGTGGTGCTTCCACAAGGAGAGCATTGGGCTCACGGCTGGAGAGCACAGTGGTAGTGGGGGTAGACTCTCCCACCTCCACAGCAGCACTAAGAACCCCTCAGGGGATGTCTGCCTGCTACTAAGCCGGCAGGCAGACATCCCCCAAGGGTCCCAGATTGCAAGAGGGCACAGGCCAGGATGAGGGACCCCCTTCCCCTTTGCATGAATGTCGTATGCCAGGCCCCTAGTGTATATGTAAAAGAAGGTCAGTTTAGAGCTAGGTAGCTAATACTAGGGTTCAATATCCCCAAAGCCTGAGACCATGAAAACCCTTTAACTTTTGCAATCTAATATGCTTCAGAAGTTTCCATTTATTGTTCACATGCCATTAAGCTGCCCTCAGGAGTGCAATGAAGCTCCATTTCTACACATATGTTTCTCTCTGTGCCAGTAATGCCACACATTCTGCAGAATTATAGGAACATCCATGTTTTCCCTGCTAAGGCAGCATAAAATCTTCATGGTGTGGGAACAGAATTCTAGCTTATCCCTGAGTATTACAAGCTCAAACATCCTCATACTGCTCCTCAGTGACTTAGGTTCTTATATGGCAAGTCATGCACTGTAGGCCTCCACTCTGTTTCAGTGCTTGAGTTTTCAGGTTAGAAACACAGAAACTACTTCCCCCAAGTGTCACCCGGACTAGAATGTTAACTAAATACTCTCCAGACCAGAGTCTTATACTCTTTAGCTTGCCATCCATGTTGGGGGCATGTTTTAAGTCAATGACCTTCTCTAGAATGTTTGCTCATCTTCAAAATACATTCAGTAGAGTGAAAAGAGGTATTCGTTTCTATTGTTTGTTATGGGGGAAGAACAAAAAATTACCCCTTAGTACAATAGTCCTTACAGCAATGTCATGATATTTCACTTTTCATATGTCCATAGTGGCATGAGATAGTTTGAGAGGATTGTTTTTAAAAGAAGAGGTAATTTTAGAAGAATGAATCTTTCATTGCTTCAACAAAAACATGTAAGGTCTTTCTAGTGGTGGAGACTTGTCCAATCACTGGCAGACTTCAGAGAGAAATAGTAACCAGACCCAGAACTTTAGGAGACACGAGGTCTGAGCAAACTTTGTGTTTCTCATCAGTTGGGAGCTGGCCAGTTTTTCATCATAACTAATTAAGTATGTAAACCATAAACAAAATTTCTCAAAATCTATAGAAGCCATACAATTAACTACTAATGACTTACAACATAAATGCTATCACTAATGACATACCACAGGTATTTTATTATACCTCCAATTTCTTTATTAACCTGATATTTTACAAAGGTGAAAAAACAAATTGGTTTTAAGTATGTCTTTAATTTCACATTAAAGTAAAACAAAATAAATTTATAACATATACTGAAACTATAAAAAAGCCCTTGTAAATTAATCACCTGAGTTTCAAAGTATGTCATAGTGTCTCATTTGAATAAAACTGACTAAAATGGAGGCAGGAAATAACTCTAACCTTCTGTTTATTTTGAACTTTTATGAAAGATTACTATGTTTTGCTGTTGACAAAATTATCGTTAAAAATGCAATACAAGATTATTCAGAAAAATGTAATCCCATAAAATTTGGTAGTTTTATGGATCTTAAAGCACCAGTGCAGATGTTTCTAATCACATTAAAAACAACAAAAATACACAAATAAGTTTGTTTCAATTACTTAATAATTCAGTTAAAAGAGTGCATATCATGGAATGGTAGGGATAATAGTTCAAGACAGGGAGGTAGTGAAACTGCAAGGAAACATACATCTACGAAGTCTGTGCTGAGGAGTGTTCCAAATTCTCAAAGCTGAGAAGACAGTTCCTTTCTTTGCTACAGTTAGTAAATTATTACCTGAATTAAAGAAATATAATGAGTATACCTTTAAGGAAAACACACACACACACACACTCACTCACACATGTGTGTGCACACTAGCTAACTAAAAACTTTCACCAAGAAAAACACCTACCTAAATCCAAAAGATCATTTAGAATTTGCCTTGGGAAAATTAAAATAAGACTTCTCGCCAGTTTAAATTTCTTACTGAGAAATAAATACAGTGCATAATGTTGTGACAGAACAGGGAGAAGGTAGAAAAATTCCTGGGCAGGTGGAATAGGGAATCTGAGATGAGAAAATTAAACAAGGCCAAACAGTTTTGGCAGCTTGCAGCCAGCTTGTGAATCACAAGACCTTATCTTCCCCAACCAAGGACACTTGAGAGCAAATGGCTAATACCTCTCCTCCCTAACCAGACAATACATAGCTTAAATCACCCTGGAAAGAACTGTTAAGGCAGTGGGTGGGGGAAAGGGAGAAGGAAAAAAGGAGGCATTTTATCTCACTCACTGAACAAAGAGGTAAGCAGTCTTGGGACATACAAGATGGTCTCATAAATTCTGGGAAAGCCACCACAGAGTAAAAGGGGAACCTTGAAATCTAGTCTGTGCCCAAGAAATCCAGCAGAGGAATCTTGAAACCTCTAGACAGAAGGTCACAAAATCCCTTGAACCCACACCAGGCGTGCACTCAGATTAGCTGGGTGCCCACTTATGTTTCATGCCAAGTGCATTTTTAATAAACTTGCTTGCTACAGCACTGCTGTCCAGTGTCACTCATTTGAAATCTTTCCTACAAGACTGATAAGAGCCCCAGCTGACCCAGGGGCTGTGTGATAACACATTTTCTGGTGTGATAGAGAATTACTGTAAATTGGCTTGTACAGTCAATATTGGGGAGCAGAGGGGAGGGGGGGTGGTAGTACGGGAGACTTGGTTGGAAAGTTTGTAAGGAGAAAATCCTGACCTAGTGGAGTTGGCTGAAGGCAGCCACTCCTAATAGTTCCTTGACCTTTCCAAATAAGTCTGTGTGCGTGTGGACACTCAGGTGTTTACCGGGATCTTTATGCTTAATCTTTAGAAGTCCTTGCTTAAAGGACACTGCAGACACATGTGTCCTCCCAAGAATGCCTACCTTGATTTTATCTAAAAGTTAAACTTTAACTCAAACTGCTGTTGTCATAAAAGCCAGAAGAGGCAGGAGAGCGAGGCTATCTGGTTCCTAGAGCCAGGCAATCCCTTCGCTCTTTCTTTCAAGGTATTTGGGTGTCAGAGTAATTTTTCATCCATCGCTCAGGGTCTGCTGGTCAGCCCCAGCACCAAGTAATCTCTAAGGGCATACAGGACTCTCTATATATTTATACAGATATTCAGTGTATAAATATTCAATGGGTCTATTTTCCTCAGATTAATTAAAAATTCATTTCATTAGCTAAATTGTAAATCTGAGGTCACAATACGCTTCCACTAAAACAAAGTGACAGTTTCTCTGCATAAAAACAGGAAAATCAAGTGCAACACATTACCTTGTGTCACCTGTTGAACTGCCAACATGATCCCAGACACAGTATCTGGAAGCAAGTTTTCTTTCGGATTGTAATGTAATGCCCATTCCAAAATCGGCAGCCTCCTTCTGCACCACTGTTTAACGCCTTCACCACGGGGAGCCTTCACCTGGCTCCAGAGCACACTTTTCTTTTTCCTCTTTGCCCCTGTCATTTTTCAGATTTTTCTCTTGCAGAAGTAAACGTTAGACAAGAAAAAAAACTGCTGCACAACAGCTCCTTTCAATACAGGGCTCCAATTCTTCTGTGGTTTTCAATGTCAAAGCTATCAAAAAAAATCAATAAAAGAGAGAAGCAAGTAGAGAGATTAATAGATGCACTTAAATATATGCAGCTGGGCTGTATGTATTATTATGGTGCAGCTAATCATTCTAGATTTTAAAAAATTCTAGATTAAAATCTTGAAATCTTATCTGAATGAGATGGGGGAAATGGTTTCTGTTAGGATAATATTTTTCCTACCTTGTTAAAGAAATGGGTTCAGTTTAAGTTGGTCTAGAGCTCTCTCACCAGTAAATTCTGGTATATGCTCGGCAGTCTTAAATGTTTGGCTTCAATCTCAAGGACGAATGTAGTTCTGGGCATGTGTTGGAAGTAGGCTGGGTCACACCAATGAAAACAGGCAGCATTCAGCTAGCTGATCTCTCCCTATTAGCTATGCAAAGAGATAAAGCCTCCAGAGGGCTCAGTCCTGCAAAATAAAATCAGAGAATTTCGACTTACATCTTTGGGAAGTATATGCTTTCAGTTCTACAAAATTCAGAAACATAAAAGATAATGTCCTTATCATTTTTAGTCCCTGGGAGACTAAACATGTTCATTCATTCACTAAAAGCAATACTTATCTTTGTATTACATACTTCACTCAACACATAAGCAAATAATTTCAGAAGCTATATTGAGTATATATTATTGAGTATATTGAGTATATATTATTTTTATAATCCAAATTCACAGCAAAGACTTTTTCAAAACATATCTAGATCATAAATTCAAATCTATGCTGACAAAATAAGAAGACTTGAAAGCTTGCCTGAAGTTATTGATCAACAGCAATGATTCGTTAAAATCTAACCATTTAAGTTCCTTTTTTGAAAACTCTGTGTTATATATCAGTAACAAAGAATTCATATAAATAGGATTATTAGAACTGAAAATGAATCTGTATCAAAGTACCTAAACAGTGCCTGCAATTATGCTAAAGCATCCTAAGACCAGGAGGGAGCAGAAATTAACTTGATAAAATACTTTTATAGTTTCTCAATCAAAAGACTTCCAAAAATTTTGAATAAACATTTCCTTAAAATCTTTTAAGTATAACTCTGGAATTCCATTTCCAGGTTTTTTGCAATTTCATGTACTTTACACATTATTTAAAACATGCCAAAATCTTACTCCAGAGCATGGTATCACTCCTATTTATAATCAGCAATACCAAAAAACCTTTGTGAAGAAATTTATTCACACCCATAAAATTATCAGAGAATCTTTGACCCAGCGCATAAAATTCAAAAAAGACTAAATAATACTTATGCAAAAGTTTCAATCACTAAATTTATATTAAAGTTCAACACTATGTATCATCTATATGAGAAATCTGTTCCCAGATGTCTAGGTAACACCTTTACAAATAAAAACATAAACTTATCTTATCTTTGACCCACCATATGAAAGTACAGAAAAATTCCTCTTTCTAAAATATTATTTTGCTTACATTTCTAACATGTTTGATCATTCAGTGTTCAATCTTAAACTCATTAGCACAAGCATGAGACCTCTCTCCCCTCCCTTATACCCCTCTGATTATCTTCCCATCAACTCTATTTATTAACCCAGCAATGATTGATTGAAACCCACATACTGTTAGACTCTGTGTGAAGTTATATGAAAGAGGGGGTATATATTGTCTTTATTGTCTAGGAGCGATTTAATTAAGGAAATAGGAAAATGTATAACTCACTCAAGGCAGAATGAGATAATCAAGTCACACAATAAATGCTGTGGAAGCTCAGAGGAGGGACAATTACGGTCCCACTGAGAAAAAGCCTTCACACACCGCATCGACCCTCTGTTCCAGCAGATAATTAGACTCACCCTTTGCTGCATACTGGCCCTCCAGCATAACTCTACAGCAATTTCCCTAGCTCCCTGGTATTTCTCCTTGTGCTAAACATTTAGCCAATCCTTACCTCTTCCATGAGACTTTTTCTGGTTTCCCCACAGTTCTGTTCTTGCTGTACACGCAACATCCAGGTAGCCCTTAAGCTATTCATGGGTGTACAGCTGCGTTCCTTCTCACTGTCTGTTGGTTTTCTTCCTTGAAATCTACTTCATGTGATTTCATCCAGTCACGCTGGTGAGATTGTGAATTCCTTGTGAGGAGGGATTACTCACATAACTCACTTTGCCACTTTCCTAGGACCTAATAGAAGGTCCTGCAGAGGTAGGACCCACTAAGTAAGAATTAATACATGAATGTCCCTACTCCTGAGAGGACCCAAGAATTCTTGAGTCTATTTCAGCCTGGTTCCAGGCTATGCTGTTAGAGAACCAGGAAACTAGGTGGAGAGAGAAAAATAGTTAGAGATAGCAGGGAAAATAAGGACTCCTCCCCATTCTCTCACCATTTAGGGAAAGGTCTATCTCTTTTCAATTCCTTTTGCTACTATTATAGAATCTGGATAATGAAAAGAGGAAAAACTAGATAGCGAATGCAAGAGAAAGGAATATATACCCCATGAAACAAGGAACTATTGTTCACTCACGCCTGAGAGGTTATAAGTACAGGCCCAGAGACACACTGTAATAAGTAGAGGAACATGAGCAAGACGTGCCAGGCAACCAGTAGACACAGTGTTCTCACTGCAGGGATTGCATGCAAAAGGCTAACGTGGGCGTGGCATGGAAGCTTCAGGGTCCTGGAAGGAATAAGACTGGAGAACAGTAAGGTTAAGAAAATTAGAGTGGCAAGAGGTGAGACCCAGGAGGAGGTAAGGAAAGCTAAGTTACACAGTGCCTGTGAGGTAATGTTAAGGAGCTTCGACTTCGAACTAGTGTAAGTGGCAGCCACTGCATGTTTCTAAGAATGCTTTGGTTGTAACAGCTCATTCATAATAGATAGAACTAGAAAAAGCCCCAGGTGGAGAAGAAATGAATAAACAGTGTTACATATGCATTTTGGAATGCTATTCCACAGTAAAAAGACACAAACTCGTGATAAATGCAGTGATATGTGAATTTCAAAAGTATTATGCTGAGTGGGGCGGGGGGGAACCACACAAGAGAAAATATACATTATGAAGTTCTAAAACAGGTAATATTTCTGGTGGGAGAAAAAAAAAATCGAACAATGGTTGCCTCTGTGGAGTTGGGGTTAGAAATTCTTGGAAAGTAGGGTTGCCAGATCAAATACAAGATTCCCAGTTGAATATGACTTTCAGATGAACAACAGAGTTTTGTTTTGTTTTTTGTTTGTTTGTTTGTTTTTAGTATAAGTATGCCCTATGTAATAAATGAGACCTTATGACAAAAATATATTAATTGTTTTTACTGAAATTCAAATTTAATTGAGCTTTCTGTATTTGGCAACCGTATGAGAAATAAATATCAAGAGAACTTTCTTGGTGGTGGTAAACCTTTATCTTCATATAGATTTGTGAATGTATTTGTCAAAGCCACGTAAATTTTACCTCAGAGGGGGAAAAAAGAGAAACAAGTATTTAACTCTAGTTAGTGACATACATGCTGAAATATTAAAGGGAAATACATTGATGCCTGCAACTTTAAAATCTCTCTCTCTATATATATATATATAAAAGACTAATATGCAAATTATCCCTGCAGGAGTTTGCCTGAGATCAATCAGTTGCTATCATATGCACTGACCACCAGGGGACAGCACAGAATGAAGGAAGGCCCCAGCTGGCAGCTGGCAGCCGGGGAAGGGAGGCCCCAACTGGCATCCAGAGGCACCAAATGGCCCTAATCATTAGCCAGGCCTAAGGACCCTACCCATGCACAAATTTCATGCACTGGGGGCTCTAGTATAAAAAAATGAGATGGGTTAATGGCTGAATAGAGGGATGAATAGATATATAATAAAGCAAATACAATACCATATTAATTGTAAAACCTAAATGATGGATATTCATTGTAAAATTCTTTCAACATTTATGTTATGTTTGAGAATTATCATAATGAAATCTTAGGGGGGAAATTCCCTGCCCTGCTTTAAGGAATTTACATTAGAGTGGAGGGAGACAGACAATAAATAACATTAGTAGGTAAATTATAAAATAAAACAGAAGGTAAGAAGGGATGGGAGAAACCAAAGGGAAAGAGTTTAGTGTGCTGGGGGTGGGACCAACAATGTTAAATATCCTGGCCAGGAAGGAACTTCCTTCAGGTTGTGGGGCAATGAATGATAGGCAGATCTGTGAGGAGAGAAGTCATACCAGGGAAAGGAGGGGATGAGGGGTACGGATGGAGTCTGGGCAGTGAGAGTGAGATTGGTGAGAGGAGGGCTTGATCTGATTTGTTTTAAAGGAATTTCTCTCTGCTTATTGTGATAGGAACAGTCAGAAGCTCTCTGAGGTCTTCTCCATTCTTAAATTTAGAAAATGTCTTCCCTATTGCAGATATCAAGAAATATTTGTTGGCTAAGCAATTATAAACATGAAGTAACTCTTTCAGTGGAAAATGTATATTTTATTCTTTTAAGTATTTCTTTTTAACTTCAAGCCAATATTAGTAGTTGACTGAGACATTTTAAATGGTCTTGAACATTTTAAATGCCCTTTCTCTTCGAGAAGATAAAATAATAAATCACATGGAATCCCTGATTTATACCAGAAAGAAATCAAAGGCCTTGGTTATAATTCAATTGCCTATTTTTTCCCCCAATTTTACTAGGACAGTGATGGTTATTTATGATCCTCTTCCTCCTTGCATCCAGCTGCTTCATCCTTCAATACACCTGCCTTTTTTCTCTCTCCAAATTTTTGTCAACTTACACAATAGAATAAAAGCTAAAGATTTCCCATAAGATGGCTCTTGGAAGACCCTGCCCTACGCAGTCCTTGTCCCATGCTATTGGTCTGCTAACCATGATCCAAGATTAATTATGACCAGCTCCCTCACCTACAGTCTGCAGCG